ATATGTCCAATAGACATGTCTGGCATGCGCCTCCTGTGCTGGCGACCCCGCTCCCATCTCTGTGTGGAGTGAGAGACAAATGCACATAATTAACAATTGTAAACCCCTTTGAGACTCAGATCTGCAGTGAAAAGACGGTATATAAATAAAGATTACTACTACTACTACTAATACATTATTTAAAAGCACCTTTCTAGACACCCAAGGACACTGTACAGGACATAATAAGAAACATTAAAAACAGGATCAACAGAATAAAACAGTAGTCCAGTGCAATACGGAATGGTGGGTGCGTGTGTGTTAGGTGGGGTAGGACAGTCTGAACAGATGGATTTTCAGTCTGGATTTGAAGAGTGGAAGAGTCAATGGTACGGAGGTCAGGGGGGAGAGAGTTCCAGAGCTGGGGGGCAGAGTGGCTGAAGGCTGTGTCCCACGGTGATGAGTCTGGCTGGGGGGACAGAGAGTGTGAGAGTGGAGGAGGAGCGGAGTGTGCGGACAGGAGTGGCAGGGTGGAGGAAGTCAGATAAGTACGGAGGGGCCAGGTTGGGAAGTGCTTTGAATGATTATTGTACAGTCTGACTGCAACAGGGGGGGAAAGACCTTTCGGACCTCTCCTTCATGGACATTAGTTTGTCCATTCCAGGACCCTCCTGTCCCCCACCTGCTGCACTGTGTTCAAGATGCCCAGGATGGACGTGGACTGGACTGATGACCTTGTCATACAACGAGGTCCTCAGGCGTGGTCCCCTCACTCTAAGACCTGAGCGTCCGCAGCCGGTAGATCTGACTCTTCCTGAAGAGTTGAAGAGAGTGTCTATGTTGTCAGTGCAGTCTACTTCCATCATTTTTATGAAAGACTAAGCGCTATAGAATTATTCTCCTTTTATTGCTCCTGTAACACTGCTTTTCAATCACCTCTGAGCTCTAATGTGCATTGTGCATAACATTGTGCATCTAAAATGTGTAACGTCTTGTTTCTAAATGTACACAGATGTCACATATTTTTTTCAGAAAACAAGTTAGAGTTTATACAATCATGGAAATGAAAGGAAAATCCAGGTACTTTTCAAATTTCAGGATAAATGGAGACTGCGGAGTATCTTTTCATTAGGTCTAATATATGCTGCAAAACACAATATTATTATTAACTCATAATAGCTAATGCTAAACTGTAGACTAACAAACTGTAAACATTATTCCAATGTATATGGTGTTTACCAGCTCACATACTTGTATCTCTTTATTTTTTTGATAGGCACATGTGTACACAATCAACATGTGAAACACTACAACATTTATAGCCAAGGTTAATTTGTGATGTCCGTCCCTAGTGGGAGCACATTGATCATCCCCCAGTTTTTTAGTTTCAGGGGCGTCCAGGGCCTTTTTCATGCACCATTAGGTGTATGAAACCTCCGCAGTGACTCTCAGTCCAAATACCCTATAGTAGAAAGCATCTTAAAAATTACAACCATCATTTACTTTGCTGATAAAACAGAATTTGTCGAAACTGAAAGATGCATTTCCGCACAAACCCAAACCTATTCTGCTTAAGTTCTGTTTTCACAAGTTGTTTTTTTTTCTCGAGCCACCCACCCCTCCCGCCCCTGCTGACAACTGTGTCTATTTTTACACACTGACTCTGCTCTAAGCCCATGATGTTACCACCCATTTCTCTACATTTTCCATTATTACACTTACTCCTTTATTCTCCTGTGTATCTATGCTGCTGAGCATTTCTGAAGTAGGTTAAACAAAATTGGGAAAACATTCACAATTTATTTGTTATTTAATTTTATTTCTAGATATTTGTTTAATGTCCCCAGGCACAAGGGCAACATGTAGACATTAACTTGGCAATTTCTGATCAAAATGTGGATTTATTCTTAATATTAGTACACTGAACAGGATGGTCATATTGTTTATGTAAGCATTGTTGTTAAAGTTCTTAAGCTGAGTATTTGGTGTAAAAATCATAAATCATAGTACAACATAACCACTGAGGGCGGCACATTGAACTCAATGAATGAATGAATCTAGGGTCAGGTTCAAATCAACTTTTTGATGAAGGTTATATGTCTATGAAATAAAGAAATGTGGGTCATTTAAACAAGATGCCTAGTGAAGCCCGTTGTACTTTAATTTACCCTTTGAATGCGTTTGGCTCTTTGACCTCCTGCATACTTCCTTTTTTATATATATATATATAAAGATTAACATTACTGGCTGTGTAGTGTCTTTTGCTCACTAGCGCCTCTGTGTTGGTGTTGTGTAATAGATCCATGGTTGTGTGCTGAAAGGGGCTGATGTCGTCAGGTCGTTTATGTTAAACTATTGGCTGGCCTAAATCCGAGGATCACATTTTCATTAGTTCTTTCGAGCGTCAATCACAGTGTACTACGACCCTTGGCCAATGATGCAAGAGAAGGGAGGAGTTACATTGGAGCTCTGATTCAGAATCCTCTTGACAACCCATGTTGATCTTGCACTGTTCTATTCCAATTCATAAACATCCTTTCATTACATAACAGAACTCTTATGTGTTTTCTCATCCCCAAATGCAATGCTTTTAAAACAAATGTCAGCCTGTATTTGCATATGACTGGCATTCCTGCGCATACTTCAACCAATCGGGAAGCTACATTTCACTCTGACAGGGGACTTGACCAATCAGCGAGCAGGCTTTGCAGTGAGGGGCGGGTCCAGGCTGGGCGAGGTTGACAGGATGAGAAGGGGAGGGGTGAGCAGCCTAGTTTACAACAAGAGGAAGAGGGAGGGAAATACAGAGAAAGGGCCGACGATTTGGACTCTGGAAAAAAATAATGGAGTAAACTGGGATTTTACACTGCGAGGATACAGTACCAGGACGTGTTTGGACCAAAGCGCGGCCTGTTTGGGTCAATATTTAGCCACACGAAGCGATGCGCACGCTTCTGCCTTTCCATCCGGAGCTAGCGCTAACCCAAAGCAGACACGGAGCCCTCAGACATCGGCTTTCATCTGTGTAACTTAAAAGCGTTTTAGTGTGCTCGATACTTTTCTCATTGTTCTGTTTGTCTCTGGCGTTCGTGAGAGTGACGGGAATAGCCGTGTGGACGCTATTTGCCATCTGGTTCATCAGTGTCTTGCTAACCCCAGGTAGAGGTAGACAGAGGGGCATGTCATATTGGATTGGCTGGTGTAGATCTGCTGACAACATGGGCACAAATGGTTGCTGATGAATTTAATTTGCCAAAACAATCTACAAAGTTGGATTGTAGGAGCTGGGTGATGGAATGATGCACCATATTCACCTTGGGAGACATCTTCTTCTACAGTAAACACCAACTCGCCCTAGGTTTTGACCCAATGACCAGGTTGAGACAGGTGCCCTGGGTTATTTGTGATGATGATGGACATATAAGTTTGCATGTTACACATTGATGACTTTACACAGCGCAAAGCAGGCTGATCTGGTGTGTGTGTGTGTGTGTATGTGCATGCGCCTTGTTGTTTCAGACATGAGAACAATTGCGTTTCTCTCGTTTGTGTCTTGTGAGGTGGGTGCACGGCCAGGGGCGTTCCCGGGAGGCTGGCCCAATTTGGAGGGATGAAGTTGATCCAAGAAGCTACTGCTGAAAATTATGTCCCCCTTGATATAATCTGTGACTTGCCATCTGAGCTAGTGCTGCAAATTGATAGTAGCAAGGCCTTTAAATATATATAAATCTCTATATATGTATATGCCATCACTTGCTGCCACCTTTTCAGCAGTCCCACTGATCTCGGACTCTTTGCAGCTCATGGTCTGGGGCCGTGTTGTTTCTAGACCCAAGGAGACTGCGCAGTTCTCAGGCCAATGCTTAAATCGAGGCCGCGGATGCACTGCAGGCCCTGTTAACCCATTCGCATCCGAGCGACTCTAGTAATGTAAACAAACAGGGAGAGGGCACCGGGGGTAATCAGACCAAAGGGAGCGGGAATAGTGATCGAAGACCGTATTACCACATGACTTTTCCATGATCTGTCCTTTGCGTTGCATCCGTAGAGTGAGTTTTGCTGTATTATGTTGACAGTACACTTTGTCCACTACCGAAGTGCGCATTAGTTTGCCGCATTCTGAGTGGCAAAGGCACATGGACTTCATCTGACTCTTATTTGTGCCTGTATGGGAGTTGATCACAATGCCACTGTGTGAAGATTTACGGCATGGAGCTTGTGAGGCTGATACGGATACCACTGCAATATTACTGCTTGGATTGTATTCTGCTCATCACCTGGAACAGTGTTTTTAACAGCGAAAAGTTTAAAGGACTCGTTTAATTTGCTTCTAAGGATCACATCACAACTAAACATCAACAATGTACTCGTCTGAGAATCCCCAGTATCTGCGACAAGGATTAAGCATGTTTGGTTAGTTTCTGCACATTCACCTCAAGTAATGAATAATAATAATGAATTATAACATTGTATTGAAGAGGTTCAACTGTCCTTGGACATGAGATTATGCTGTTTTTTACAATACAATACATATTTATTTATGATGACTGTGATAATTATGTTTACATAGTTTCATACCTCTATAATTCAGTCCTATTGAAAGTGGGTTAGTGTGTATTTATAAACTGCTGGTATGTTATTACCTCTCCCAACGAGGTTATGTCTTCAACTGAGTTTGTTGATTTCTCTGTTAGTTAGTGACATAACTTAAAAAGTCATGGGTAGATTTTTAGAGACATATACATATTTGTCTAGTATGGGACAAGGAACAATGATTAGATTTCTGGATCCAGGATTTCGTATTTGAAGAATTGAAACTGAACCTCATGTTGGAGGTCTCTGCTCTAAGTGTTGTAATTTCACACATGAATATTGCTTGAGTTTTGGAAGATTGTGATACATGCACATGCATTGTTTTTCATTAGTTGATAGCATTCCTGTTTATATGTATGTAGGAATACTTTGAATTAGTTACTTTTACTACTTGTTGACCAATGTTTTTGTTGTTTTGTTTTCTGTAGTATGGACCAATGTAGAGCCACGGTCTGTCCCAGTCTTCCCCTGGCATTCATTGGTTCCTTTCCTGGCACCCACCCAATCAGACTCCTCTTCTCAGTCCGGAGAGGGTCATCACCCAGTCAACCACCCCCAAGCAGTGACTCTGAAAACAGGAGCAGGTAAGATACTGTGATTCATTTTCAAAATTATATGTATTATTCACAAACTCATTGTCTCATTAGAAGTTCATGGAGTGGCAGCTCAGCCACAGGAGCCTGTAGAGGCCCCTCCCACAATAGACCGAGGCCCTCCCTCCCGGCCTCCCACCTCTGCAGAGGGGCCTCCCCCAGAGAAGGACAAGGGAACTGCAGAGAGGGAGAGGCCAGACAGTGAAACAGAGAGTGATGTTGATGATCCGTGAGTTCACTTAAGAAAATAAGAAATGCATAATGATGATTTACTAGTATTGTATTTGTGTTCTTTGAGAGAAATGTGCTCAAGTAAATGTTTTAAACAGAAGTCTGAATCTGTCTTTATAGCTTTCTTCCTGGAGTTGTCCCCGAACAGCCTCTCTCTACGTCACCAGTGAAGAGACGCACACAGTCTCTGAGTGCACTACCCAAAGACGGAGACAAGAACAGCCCTGGAAAGGTGGGCTTACAACAAGAGAAGTTAAACTGTAATCTGATTCTAAATGTGTTCTCTTGTGTTTTTTAGAGAGAAAAAGACCATATACGACGTCCAATGAATGCATTTATGATATTCAGTAAGCGCCATCGAGCTCTCGTTCATCAGCGCCATCCAAACCAAGACAACCGAACAGTGAGCAAAATACTTGGAGAATGGTGGTACGCTTTAGGGCCCAAGGAGAAACAAAAGTACCATGATTTGGCCTTTCAGGTGAGACGTTTTTTAATGATAGTTTTATTAATTTGGACACTTACAATACTTTTATTTTCTTTAGGTAAAAGAGGCACATTTCAAAGCCCATCCAGATTGGAAATGGTGCAACAAAGACCGTAAAAAGTCTAGCTCTGAGGGTCGTGGGGTCCCAGGGAGCAAGGACATAAGGGAGAGAAGCATGTCTGAGTCCACAGGTATAATGCCTTTACACAAACACCAACATTATCACAAGATTCATATAAAATCCATTTTGTCGGCTGTGAAAGGGTTTGAATGTCCAGTTCGAAAAGATAAAAAAAGACTGCTTAAATTGAGCAGTAATTAAAGTCGTTAAGAGTTTGACCCAGTTTTCCCATAATATCTTGGAATGTGCCATACTACTTTTTATGACAATTTTAGCAATATAGGGAAGGGTTTGGGGAATGAAAATATCACTCAAAAGTAGTAATTGTAAAAGTCCTGAATGCACATTTCATACAAACATTAGTGAAAGAGCAATGTTTAGTATACTTGTTTTATTAGTTCAGATACTTTTCATGATAATTCACCTGTTGTTATCTATTGTTTGTATTCTCCCAAAAGTTAATTTTGTACACAATGGATTTGCAACATATTTTTGGTAATTCCTGGTTTGTGACATCACTCATTAGGTCTTTTTCCAAACTAGTACAATCCTGCTATTACCCTAGTTAGAAAACACTGATTTTATCCTAATGTTTTGCTCATGTCTTTTAAACAGAGCCTCATACTCTGGAGCTGAAAGGGGTGCCCCCAGGTTTAGTGAGTGTTTCTGAGCGAGGCACAGTGGAAGGTCATGGGAGTCAACTCACTCGACCTCGAGCCTTTTCTCAAAGTGCTGTTCACAGCCTGGAGCGAAACGGCAGGAACACTAAAGCTCTGGCAGAACTGGCACAGGTACAAGTTCATGTCTAATACTTCTGCTGTGTGTAACAAATATAAGAATCATATGGTTGTGTATTCAGATGTGTGGAGAGGGTGTAAATCACTATTCAAGGCATGCTCCACCTTTGTCACAGTCCCAGCGTGGAGTCAGCGAGGACATGACCAGTGATGAAGAGCGGATGGTCATATGTGAAGAGGAGGGCGATGATGATGTCATTGGTAAAAACAACAAGATTTTCTTAAAGTATTGGTGTCTTCTGATTTCCCGACTACTTGATCTTCTGAGTACAACAATATCAAAAGGTCTAAAAAGGATTTTGTTGAATGAGAAACCAAAAGGGGGAATTTTGAAATAGAATATAATTTGTAGACCTGTGGATATGTTTGAAGAAATGATACGCTTGTTCCCAGAGGTCTCTCATCACAGTACTAACCAGGCCCTACCCTGCACAGCTTCAGAGATTTGACAGTATCTGGCTTTTGCATGCAAGTTTGACTATGCCCTAGAGTCCTAGAGCCCTAGCGGCTAAAGCTAGCGGCTAACTCAATTCAATTAGTTTTTTAATAGCCCCTAAAACACAGCAGCAATCGTTGATTCCACAACAACAGATCAGAAAGGGTTAGGGTTAGGGACCAATCTCCTTTTCCTGGATCATCACTGCTCTTTAGACGCTACTGCAAGGACCGACTCAAAAACCCAGTTGGGAAAAGGTGAGAAACCTCTGGGAGGTCCACATTGACAGTGGAATCCACTCCCACAGATGGACAGGCTATAGATTCAGGACTCATGAATGTAAAATGGGGACTGTCTGAACAAGGGGTTGACCTTAATATTTTCCAAAATGCACAAGATATTTCCCCAAATCATTTAGCTCTTGAAAGCAGGTTTATAAAATCATTGCTTAAAATGGTTTCTCTCTCCCGACAGAGGACCCCTATCCGAGCAGCTCTATTGATCTAAAGTGTAAGGAGCGAGTTACGGACAGCGATAGCGAAAATGGCTCTGGAGATGAAGCTGATAGGAAGGTATACAATATAATTCGATTACTTTCTCATGTGGTAATCTAATAGCTAAAACATGCATCTTTCCATTTTCAACAGAGAGTCTTTGCCCCAGTAATCTGCTCATCATCTTCAGCTCACCCCCCTCACCACGGCCGGAGCGTCTCTTTGTCTTCCTATCCAAGCAGCAACAAACGTTTTGAGGAAGCCAGGTCGTTCGGTGCAGGATTTACAGAGCACAGGCGAAAGGGCGGGGGCGATGCAGAACACAAGAACATTAATTATGCTGAAGGAATAGGTCTCCCAAGTTCTTTCTCCGTGTCTAGCCAGTCTACCATATCTAGTGGACCAGTTTCATCAACTACTATGGGTCCCAGTTCTGCATTGGGCATTGATGTTTCGAGGGCAGCTTCCACCGTGGTAACAAACGTGATGCGTCCGGTCATCAGCACACCACTCCCTTTAGCAAGTAAACTGAGAGAGGGAGGGGCGGGATCGTGCTCACATCCACCTGAGAAGAAATCTACACAGCAGCAAGTTCTGATAGGGCCAGGAGGTGCAACTAGCGTGACAGCTTTTGGCGGTGGGTATTACTCTTCATCATCTCCTAGTCCAATCGGAGCAGGAGTAGGCCCAGGGAGTGTGGTTACCAATTTGGTCTTGGGCGCACCCTTACCCGTCCAGCCTACTGTCCAGCTCATTACCCCCTCTCCTCAGCCCCAGCCTCTACAGCCTCAGCCGCATATTTCCAGTACCGCTTCTGCGCAACTTAGCCAGAGCAATGGACCCCTGCCTATACCCATTCTTCAACCCCAGTTCCTGCCCGCTTCGTCCCTAGCACCCTCTGGGGGAAAGCCCATCACTCAAGTTCAATACATCCTGCCCACTTTACCCGCCATCTCCAATCCCAAGAGTCCTCCTCAGCAACTTAATCAGCCAACCAGTATCTTTAACTTACCCACAGTCCCATCTTCACACACCGTCCTGACCAACGGCAAACAGTCCAGTGCAAATTCGTTGGCTGCATATACATCAAACCCTGCTGTGGGCGTGGTCAGCTCAACCACCAGAGGTAAGTACTGAAAGGACACGATCATACCATAGTCTAAATCTCTTACTTGATACACAGTAGCTGATGGGAATAAAATCACATTAATCTTCAGAAATTTTGTTTGTATTAAACATATGTACATTTTGACAGCACTTGAAAAATAACCGGCAGGTTTTCATGATGTAATGAAGCAGATAGACGACTGTTTTAACTGGTCACTGCCTGATTTAATGATTAGGTGTTTAACAGCTTAATTGTTTGCTTCCATGTTGGTACTCATTCACCTTAATCTATTTTTACTATAAACAAATGTCCTATAGCTATTAAAACTTCAAAGTCAAAAGCACTCTAATAAACTTTGCATTGACAACTCTACCACAATAAAAACACGTTTATTAGCCGCATTGCTTTTTAAGCTCATTTAGGCTCATCTGCACAATTTCAACATGTTTTCAACTGATTCATCACAATTTGTTAATTTTTACATTCCTAATCAACAAAATATTAATTGTTGGTACACCATCTCTTTCAGTGCAAACTCAGTCTCCAGTGCTTCAGGGCAAAATGCTGGTTCCCATGGCCACTGTTCGGACTGCACCGGCCACGGCCCAACAGTTTCCTATTGTGGCACCACCCCTTCCTGTTCAGAATGGTGCCCAGGCCGGAAGCAAGGTCAGAAACCAAAGAAATAATCGTTTTCCTTTCACATACTTTAGATTGCCTGTCTCTGATCTATGATGTACTGTGGCATAACCACACCCAGTGACATTTGTGGAGCCGGACAGAGAAAGCAGTGGGAGGGGGCTCTTACTTTTGTTCATTCAGGAGGGAGGGGTGTGCAGGCCCCAACACATTTAGTAAACCAACTGCAAAGCAATTTTAAAAAAAAGCTGGCTTTCACTGGGGGATAAACTGTTGTCTTTACTCATCTAGCCTACTCAAAAAAAGAAAATATGTTGAAAATTCAACAAATTTCAACCTGCCGATCTCAAATTGTGGAAAGAATTCTGTTACGAGATTAGATCCAACTAAATTATTTTTTTCAAGAAACAAATACCGTTTTAGTAACAACTTCATTGTTAAATGTGTTTTAGTCTGTATATAGCACAGTTATCCGGCTAGATGTGATCTTAACATTCAAACAGCAGTAATTAAGGTATATTAGGATGACCTTCGATGGCTTCACTTCTGATATATCTTGGTCAAATTGAGGCAAAATCTCATATTTACATACTTATAACTTATTGCTGAAACAAAAGAATAAACACAAAATTATTTGAATATAAAAATAATAGTTTGAGCCCTAATTATTAGGGTTAGGATCTTTCACAGAGGAGAATGCACGCTTCTCTCTTCATGTATAAAATCATCAGGCACAGTTTTATTTCCTGCCTTGATTGTTACATGACGTTGTGTGTCTTGTTCATCAGTTGATACAGATCGCCCCCATGCCTTTGGTCCAGCCTGGGCTTCCTCAGGTCACAGCGGTCCAACCTCCTGGTGCTTTTCCAGCTTCAGTGGTCGCCCCAAACACCGCCCCGTCCCAGACCGTGCTACTTCCACCCGCGGCCAACAGGTACGATGATGGTGGATTTTTACAAGTCGTTTTGGTCAGTTCACTTCTGCACAATCGATATCACTCTGCTCCAAATTGTGCTCATAAAAACATGTATAATTTATGCCATGTGTACTTACTATACATTTTTTTGGACATGAGCAAATCTAAAATTAGATGTACCAAAAATAATACTAGAATCAAGTTAGATACTCATTTCAGAACGTGTTTTAAGTTACATTGGACAGACAAGCCTTTCAGATTCATTTATTTGTCATGTGCAGTAAAACCCACATTGGAATACATACTTAAGCGTTACAGCAAAACCATGCTAATTTTCAACACTTTTAGGACATAAAAGTTTTAACAAGTTTTAACATGAAAAAAAAAAGTTGAGTTTATCAAATTTACAATCAATTTCAATTAAACATTAGTGCAGCTTTGCTTTGATTTGACAGTGACAGATGTCTGGTAAAGACCTTCCACAGTCTGGCTCCATTAGAGGAAAACGATTATTAGCGGAGACTGTCCGAAGCCAAACAGTCCAGACTCTGATGTTAGGTTTGCATGAATAAAAACCGGACATAATGTGAGATTCATGTGAGTTTTTTTGAATGATTTCAGAACACTTAATAAAGTTGGAGATTTTAGACTTCTTTCCTTATTACCGTATGCTAAAGATAGAGATTTTATACTGCTTCATTTTATGCTAGAATTAAGATATTTTATAGTATAGAGTTATTCTTAATCTGGTCCTGTGCTGTGTGATCCTCATTCTTATGGTCTATAACTTGTGATGCAACACTGAAATGTCCCCACTGTTGGACAAAATAAAGAATCTCTTCATCTTAACTAGTATTAAAACCTTATGGTATCAAGTAAAAAGTCCTATAATATATTGTATGATTTACAGATTTTTTTTTTTTTTAAGGATTATCACTCTGGTATCTACAAAGTCTATTTCTTGAGTTTGTAATCTTAGTATCATGACAACACTCATCAATGAATAAAACTATATTTAGAAAAAGTATGGAGGGATTTTAATGGGGTACAATTATCACAATATAACAGATCTGCATTATGATGGATTACGAGATATTCTTAATCAATCAATCTGTATTTATAGAGCGCTTTCCCTAAACAGGGTAACACAAAACGCTCCACAGTCCATATAACAAAGCACAAATCATCAAATAAAACAAACTCCAAAACCACCATTAAAAACATTCAAATCACACAAGGGATTAAAATAATAAATGACAGCCGTGCATTCAAAAGAGTAGAGATCAAAATCCTTCAGTCGTCTGCACAGGCAAAAAGAACCGTCTTTAACCTGGATTTGAACGTCTTCTGTCTTGTTCAGAATCACCTACGTCCACTCCACACCGGGCATCCCATCCACACTACCTTTGGTCTCCACGACAACAGCCTCGCCGCCCTCACAACAGTCTCTTCCTGGCTCTGCATACGTTCCGTCACCGATGGCAACACTGGGTTTTACTGCCATCGCGCCACATGGACAGACCCTGGTCCAGCCGCTCATCGCAGGTTTGTGCGAATGTCAAGCACCATATAAGACTGTAGGGCTGCACCGTCGCAATCAGTCAGAATGTACGATTGTTCTGGTCACTATCAGCAAATCTTACATACTGCAATTATTGGAATGCTTGGCAAACAAATAAGCGACTAAAAATAAGCAAATAATCATCAATTTTGAAAAATGTCTCTTGATTTTGAGTATATTTTGTAGATTCGTCAATGGAACAAGCAAGTATCTAATGCCTTGTTGAGCAGAAGAATTATTTTCATTCATCTTTTTTCTAATTTATACAAGCCGTAAAAACTCAACTGGGATCTGAAAAAAATGTATTCAATAAGAAAAGATAAAACAACTTAATTCAAGCATTTATGTGTAATTGAAATCTTGGCAATTAATCTTTTATTTCTACAAGAGGAATTAATGGTTGTATTTTCGGTTAGAAAAAATGTCCTGAAATGTGTTGGAATTGTGTTTTTTTTTTTTGATATGTAGCTATTTCAAATGGAACTCTCTAAAAGTTGTTATTTTTACTCTGAACAAAATCCAAGTTATCAAAATAAATAAATAGTGCAGCCCTACAGCCACAGGATAGCACATGTGTTTGATTGTTTTTTGTTTCATCTGGGCCTTTATTCAATGCAGCGCTTATTTTCTCTACAATTTATACACGGTAACTTGTGTGGCAAAAAGTGGATTTCAATTTTCAGGAAAAATACGCAACTCTTTCTAGAAACTGTTTTTCCTGTTTTTTCCGGTCCATGGTTAATTTTTGTAATCTTACAAAGTGGCTATATAAAGTAAGTGTCAGGGCATCATATTTGCATGTACTACGTTACTTTGATATTGTTTTTGTAATGTGTCGTGTTTTTTCCCCATTTCCTCTGGTCCTTAGTGTGTTTACTGGGTTTTTCTCTTGGATTGCCTCTACTGTAATGGCTCAAATCCTCTGCTCTTTTGTGCTCCTGCAGTAAAATACCATCATTTTGTGTTTATTCAGGTCAGCCTCCGATCTTCGCCCCAGCTCCGTCTCCGTCTCCTCAGCCCTCCGGTTCAGTCCCTGCTTCAGGCAACGGCGCGGTCATCACCACCATCTACCCTTCTTCACCCAGTGTCTCCATAGCAACAGGGGCAGTCTCTGTCACTGCAGCGCCCCCTGGTGTGGTGTCCAGCCCTTTCAGCACTTCCTCTCACGTCCTGCAGAAGCACACGTCCATCACTGTAACTGCCCCAGCCGCAGACAGAGGGGCAGAGGGACAGGGTGAACTGCTGACGCCAGATCCTGCAGGTGTCGGCAGCTCAACAGCGCCTCCCAGTGGCTCTACTATTCCCATGAGGGCTGGCAGTCCCCAACTGCACATTCAGTCGGGTATGTTTGCTTTTACTTAATTGTAGGGATGGGACAATAATGGGTGTTTTTGTATAATGCATTGTTTTATTTGTTAAAAAAAAAAACAAATTGATCCATAACTAAGTTAGTCTATTAGTCTATAACTATTTCAACTTGTTTATGAAGCTCAACACACACTAAAAAGTGTGGTGTTTTTTTCTGTAACAAATTACAGGGAAAAAAAATGTATTAATGCATAAGGAGAGATGGCATGGCAGCTGATTGCAGTGGACCAATTTACTATGGTCTATTTACTTTGTCATGAATGCTATTTTTCCTTCAAGTAAATACAAATACATTAAAAAGAGATGCCCTGTTTGTACAAGTAGGGCAACTCAACAGTGCAGATCTTATTTTGATGATATTTTTTGTCTGGAATTCAGAATATCTACTGGTGTCACTTTATCTTCTCAGTGAAATGTGACGTTGTCTGGTGCTTCAACAGGAACAACAAAGCTCATCCAGCTTCAACCTCGGGCCCCTCAGAAAATAAAGGCGACCGTGGCTACGATTCCTGTAGGCAGCTATGAAGGAGGAGGTCGAGCCAAAGAGAGGGAGAAAGGACGAGAGCGAGAAAAAGACCGCGAGAAGGAGGAGAGGGAGGCAACAGCGAGCAGCCTGTTCTCTTTTGACATCGAGCCTCCGACACAAAGCACCTCTCCAGCTCCTCATCCCACTGAGGAGTCTCCCTCTGATCCGCCCACAGAGGCCCAGAACACAGACTATGAAAGTACAAAACAGGAGTGTCCCACCACCAAAGAGGTTGGTCTACAATTTGTTTTAGGGCTACATTATTCATCTCAATTGAATGGAAATGGAGGTCACAATTGACTTAATATTTGAAGTTCTTTGCAAACAAATAATGGACCAAAGATAAGCAACGTCTCACTTCATTTTTGAACATTTCTCTTGATTTCAGTATATTTTAGAAAATTCAAACGGGTATCTTTCACGGAAGATTGTCGGCGGAAGCATTGTCTCATTCCAAACATTTTTGCAGTGAATCTTTTATTTCTACTGTATTTTAGAACATAGAAATCTGTTAAGAAGCGACAACATCAAGTGCTTACGTACACTTTTTCAAATGCAACTCTTTAAAGGTTTTTATTTTTAAAAGTTGGGAAATATTGCTATTCGATACTTTGCCAAGATTGTGCAGCCTTAGTTTGTTTGTAGATGATCAACATTTGACTGAACTGTTTTCAGGCTGGGTGGAAAGAATCTCTTCCCTCGTCCCCTCTCCCGCCACCATCCACCACTGAGCCCAGCTTGCCGCCTCCACAGAGCGATAAAGAACCTCTAACTCCCAAAAAGATTAAGGTCCGCCCTCCACCGTTGAAAAAAACCTTTGACTCTGTGGACAAGTGAGTCGCCAATTATTCTTTTTTTCATCCAGAATAAACAAATGTCACTAATGTATTTATTGTGTTGCTGTGCCAGGGTGCTTTCTGAAGTCTATTTCGAAGAGCGTTTTGCTGAGCTGCCAGAGTTCCGGCCCGAAGAGGTCCTCCCCTCACCGACATTACAAAGTTTAGCCACGTCACCTCGTGCTATTCTGGGCAGCTACCGACGCAAACGGAAGAACTCTACAGGTAAATGCGTTCTTCAGTTGTATCACTGAACATAATTTGCCAGAGGCCTCCAAATCATCAAATATTTGAAATTCTACAATGTTACAATTGGCAACTTCTGATCTCAGGAAATCGCTTTTTCTTGTGTTAGCTTAGGACACCATTACTTTTATTTATCTCATTTGGATGCATATTGAATTGATCACGTCTTTGTTTTAGTATTTGATATGCAATTATAATTACATATGTCTGAGAGGGTGTAAAGATTGCAACTGTTTTCTTCAGATTTGGACTCTGCGCCTGATGAACAAGTCTCACCAAAGCGGAAAAGTAGACGACGTTCGAGCTGCAGCTCAGAGCCGAACACGCCTAAAAGTGCTGCCAAATGTGAGGGAGAAATTTTTACCTTTGACAGGACAGGTACATATTTTCACACCTCAAAGTTTTCTGCAATTGTTCCACTGTGATGTAACAAATACAAACAATTATGGCGTTCGCAGAGGGGGAAGACATTTTGACAGAACTGGAGTTTGAAAAAGTGCCATACTCTTCCCTGAGAAGAACCTTAGACCAGAGGAGAGCACTGGTTATGCAGCTTTTCACGGAGCAGGGCTTCTTTCCATCTGGTGAGATTTCATTCACAAATATTAGAACAGCAATACAGACATTTTATATAACAGTCTATTCCCCTCTCCCCGTAGCTCAAGCCACTGCAGCCTTCCAGAGCAGATATTCTGACATATTTCCAACTAAGGTGTGTCTGCAGTTGAAAATAAGGGAGGTCCGCCAGAAGATAATGCAGACTGCCACACCCTCTGACGGCCCGGGTTTAGGTTTACCTGACTTTTCTGGCTCTAACCCTGGACCCTCTGGCTCTCAGTCAGGGGAGGGGTCTGGACGAGTGGACCTGCAGGATGAGGACATGGAGCATGAGTGCGGTGTGGAAGAACCACGTGACTCCCAGGACTCTGTGAGGTGAGGGAGAGCAGGCTGAAGAGCAGCCACTGTCTGTGAAAGCACTCTTCACTCCCCATCTCATGTTGAACACTCTGTTCAGCGGTCTACATTTCTGCAAGCAAGAGAATTGTACACAAAATAATCAACTTTTAAAGGGACTTCATTGTACCAAAAAGAACAGTGGCTCAAACCATGCCACACACTATCATTATGGACCTTCTCCTCTTCACTCCAAACTTGAATTTGTGCTATGTACCACCTTTGGGAAAGTCCTCATCAAAGCCAGTGAACTAGATCCATTGTGTACAGCTACAGATTAGTAGAAAATGTTTGTCATGCTGGACTTTTAAACCTGCTTTGCCTGTTCTGAGATATGAAATGCATTTAACAATGTATGTGTTCATGTTTTTTTTTCTTTTTTCTAAATATAAAAGTAATTGCAGTAAACCGCTGCTTATGGAACAACTTTTATTTTAATGTACACTCGTCTCCGCTGACATATGGGGCAGGGCCCTCAGCAGACGAGATTTTTATTTGTGAAATCTTACTTTTAATCTGGAAGGATCCCTTCCGTAAGTGTTTGCAGACCACTCACTGGTCTGTTCATGAAGTGACTGAAGATGTAGAACTTTTCAAACGGACTTCTGGCTGTGCCATCATTCCTGCAAATGACCATCTGGCCAAACCTGACCCGAGCACATGCCTGTAGGAGGAACAAGCATTCCTGTGCCTCATATTCACAAGCCTATGGAAGGTGGGTCAGGGTCAAAGGCACATCCTGGCTCTTTAAGGGTTATATTGTTGGGCTTTAATCCTCTGTTGCCAACAGTTTTATTAACTTCAATTTTGTTTTGTATTGAACATTGCCATTGAGTTTGTTGTTTTCCAGCAACTGTACCTTCTGTTTTTTTACATTGAAATATTTCTTAGTTGTGTTGTGTTCCTCTCTCTGATTACAGTAGTTAAACTTATGTTGTAGACACAGACAACATTCCCCTCTGCACCTGCCTTGGTCTTCCCTCGACTGGCCTCATTTCAGACAGGATCTGTGGCTGTTATTGATTTCAATGAGGAACAGATGTAACATGGACCAGAATTCACACAGTACGTTTTCTAGAAGAGCATACTTTTGTTTCTTGAGTTTGCGACTATAGTAGAACTTCCAGTTCCACCTCTTCTTTCCATTTCCTCCTTTGTCACTTTATTGCTCTCTCCAGTCCTGGCCTTTCTACTTGATGGAGTTTTCACAGGTGGTTGAGGAAAAGGGTAAACTAAGAACTCGTAGGATCTTATACTGGTTGTGTCTTTGTGCAAGACTTGGTAGTGTTGTAAATAATTACTGTAGAGTCAGTAGACTCGTATATTAAGGAAACAAACTGTCTTTGAGCAACTCTAAGATCCAACTATCGAAGATTAAACACATGAAATGGAGAAAAAATACTTAAGACTATTCATGTTTTGTGTTCTACTCCTTGTTTTTCTGTTCCGGTAAGCAAGAGTTTATATAATAAATTAAGTTTGTATCTGTATCTTTCAGTATACAAATAAAATGGGTTTCATTAAAATGATGGAATTTGTCCAGTGTCTGATTTCTAACTATGAATCCACATTTGACGTAGAATTAACATTTAGGTTTCTGGCTCACACTATTGAATTGCTTGTCACATTGTCACACACTGTACCAGAAACAGAATTGTCAATTGTATCAAAGGGACTGTAAAATTGAATTATCAAAATACATAAAATGATTTGTGGTTTTTAAAAAAAATCCACAAGCGAAGCGGAAGTCGGTGTCTTTATATTGTATATTTTACACATGTTGATGTGTAAAATTCTTAATGTCGTGATCGGACTCACGGACCAGGGCTGTCTCAGCCTGCAGGAGACTTTCTGCTCCATCCACTGAGTGAAGCAGAAGGTCCTCGCGGTGCTCTGGTTTTTCATACATGAGACGTATAGTCATATTCCATACAACTATGAACATTCTCATCATTGGCATGCCTTCATTAATCCATTTCTGGGTTGGGGGGTGGCGCTGATCCTCCTGCAGGTGGTGGGTCCACGGGAAGATGCCTTCTTCGTCATTGAAGACATTCCCTTGGTCTTTCAGCGGGGGCTTCAGGCAATGTGGGGTTAAGTGTCTTGCCCAGGGACACAACAACAGCAGACATCAGTGGGAGCAGATGACATGGGTTGTAGTGGGATCGAACCCACGACCATTAGGTCCAAAGACCAAATGAGCTACTGTCCCCCCACATTGTCATTCAAATAAATAAAAATTAAACCAGTAAGAGTGCAAACTACAGACTGGCACCACTGTCCGAATGCAAGATGCAAACCTCAAAGCTATATCAGGTATTCTGAAAATATGCACACACTCAACTTGACCTCCACAGCAGAATATAAAGATAATTTCATACTTCATTCATTGTAGTGGCTTGGGTAAGTACATGATATATTTCACATAAAGAGGTTTAGCTGCTTGAGATCGGTCATCATCTCAAAAGCAGCAGTCATTTGACCAATTCACTCTGAAATAACCATTTATCTCCAAAAAAATTGTGAAATACAATGAAAAGCTTTAGAATGTTGGACCGCTTTTACTGCTATTTATTGCCACACAAATGTTATTGAAAAAGCATGCTTCCCAAAATAAAACATGCTTAGAAAAATTTGAATTTATTACATACCATATTAACAAGAACAATATCATTTTATTTTTCCTCAAACAAAAATACTATATAAAAATGGTAAAACTAATTATACAAAAATAGGCACAGTTAATGTTCCTTATCCTGTCATGCAAAACATGAAGTCATCAAGAAGCTTTGTCAAAGGTTTTGGTCAGTGAAATAATAAGTTATATCTTACTATCGCATTAGAATATTATCGGCCTCAACAACAAAGCCAGAATTCATATGTAGAAGCCGTAGAAGCTGCCGTCTTTCTACAGTGGAACTATCTGATCATAGGCCGTTCTCCAGGGCGGCCTGATAGATCTCCAAGGCCTGCTCCAGCGGCAGGGCTCCTCCTTCACTGGTCTCGATGATGGCTATGGTCTCCCCAAACTCATTACACATGATAGTGGGAGTTCCCTGCATCTGCAAAAAAAACAGTTTAAGATTAAGATTAGGGGATCCTTTTCTTCTTACCACAGTAGGGAAAGTTCTGTGTTGCAGAACAGTGGGAATGAGGAGCACACAACGCGAGATAAATGAATAATAACGCTACACTAAAATAAGAAAATCTTAAACTTATGCATAAAAATGAAGCAAGTATAAAATCTCTAGCTTTATCCTACTAAGGAAGCAAATATATGGGGCGACAGTAGCTCAGTTGGTAGAGCATTGGCCTTATGGCCAGAAGGTTGTGGGTTCAATTCCCACCTCTGCACCTTCTCCACCGACTCCCACTGATGACTGCTGTCGTTGTGTCCTTGGGCAAGACACTTAACCCCACTTTGCCATAAGCCCCCACTGAAAGATCAAGGCTATGCTCACACTCAGAGAGCAGCCGTCCTCCTGTGGACTCACCACCTGCAGAGGGTCAGTGAGGGGCTGGTGCTATGAGACTTGGGTGGCATCTCTGACTGCCACCCCCCTGACCCAGAAATGGATTAAAGGGTAGAAGATGGATGGATGGAAGCAAATATAAAACTTTAGCATGATGAAGAAGCAAGATATCCATACAAAATCAATACAGAATCCACTAAGGTAAGATAAGAGAACCTGGTATTGTCCCACAGTGGAGTCATTATGAAAAATTCATGCTAAATAAGGAGTACAGACCTGCTCGATGTCCGATGTTCTGATTTGAAAGACTTGATGCTGTACATTTGCCGCTTCTACGGTGTTGCCATCCACCACAGCGTCAGCCGCCTCAGTCTCCATGTCTTGCTGAGGAGCGGACTTTTCCACCTGCTGCTGGCGGGCGTGAGTTTTCTTGTGGCTCCGCAGGTTGGAAAAAGTCTTGAACGCCTTACCGCACAGAGGGCAGACGTGCGGCCGCTCACCCGTGTGCGTCCGCCGGTGCTCTGCCAGGTGCATGCTCTGGATGAAGCTCTTGTGGCAGACCTCGCAGGTGAAAGGCCGCTCGCCTGAATGTGTGCGCAGGTGCTCGCGTAGGTGTGTGTTTTGACGGAACCGCTTGCCGCACACTTGACAGGGGAACGGGCGCTCGCCGGTGTGCACTCTCTGGTGCAGTGCGACGCCCGACGAGGAGACAAACTGTTTCCCGCAGTCTGGACACTGGTGAGCTTTCGGTCGCTTCCCCGGGGCCGGTCGTTGGCGCGCGGGCCCCAGAGCGAAGTGGCTGAGTCGGTGAAGGCGCAGATTTGCCGAGGTGTTGAGCTTCTTTCCGCATATGTTACAATCCAAGCTGTTTCCGGTTATGGCTAGTGCAGCTGGCTGCGCATCCTTAGTGGAGGATGTGGAAGGCTGTGATGACCTATCGGAACACACAGGTGCATTGTGGTTCTTCTTCTCAGTCTTGGGAACAGTGCCAACCAGAGAGGGGTGCTGCTTGAGACAATGTGCGTCACGCTGCCTCCTGGATACGAAGCCGGCCTCGCAGTGCAGGCAGGCGAACGGGGATGGAGAACCGGGGTGTTGCCTAAAGCGATGGATGGCAAGCTTGACGGGATGGCGAAATTTAGTGGGGCAGTCGGGGCAAGACAGCACCGGTGCGTTTGAGTGAAGTAAACTATGGTTGCGGAGGTTGGACGACTGGGAGAATGAGCGATGGCACACGTCACAGCAATACGGCCGGACACCGGAGTGAATGATGCTGTGGCGGATGAGGTTGGCGAGGAGAGTGAAGGTTTTGCCGCAGTCAGAACACTGATACGGGCGTTCTCCGGTGTGACTTCGGATGTGGTTGTTCACGTGTATCTGCTTCTTGAAGGCCTTTCCGCAGATACCACACATAAAGCTGCACTCTGCGGCATGGGCCTTCCTTCTATGATGGACCAGCTGTTTCTGAGAGGAAAACAACTTGGAGCAGCTACGACAAGAGAAATTGTGTTTATCTGCGCTCACAGCGGGTAGGTCAGTCTTGTCCCCTTTTTCCTCAGGAGACAACACAGCCTGTTCTGGCTCTGAGGCAACGTTTGTTTCTTGGCTCCTGTCGTTATCGGCTACTGCTACTTCCATGCTGTTTATCACCGGTTTCACGTCTTCTTGACTTTCCTCTGTTTGCTGATTTTGTCGCTCACTACAGTCCATATTTTGTACTTGATCCTCCTCCAGAGAGGGCCAGAGAGTGCACTTCTCACGGGCTTTCTGCAGTATTGCAAGAGCCGATATGGGTGCTCTTTTCTGGGGGGACATCTTTAAACAGAGTAATAAAAAAAAGATGAAAGAATGCATTAAAATCATATTCAAAATGCTAAATATTTTCAATGTTTTTTTTTTACATACCGTGAATGTGTTTGTTTGCGCAGAGATATTATGATTTAGGTGGATACGTCTGTGGTAAAGTTGTTTGGTCATACTGGTAAACACTTTGTCACAAAAAGTGCATTTGTAGAATGGATTGGCAGTGTGTGACTTCCTGAATGGGGCAATGACAATAAAACAAATGTGAGTGAACATTTAAATACATTTCATGTTTTTTAAGCGATAATATTTACCTGTGAGTTATTAGTGTCAACTCTGTACCAAAGCCCTGTCCACAGTCCACACACAAAAACCGGGCCACCCCTGTGTGAGTGCGCATGTGGGACTCCAAGGACATGAGTCTTTTGAATATTTTCCCGCACTCACAGCATTCAAATGTGCCCTGATCGTGCACACGTCTGTGAATAGCCATCCTGCTCGCGGAGGCAAAGGTTCGATGGCAGAGATCACACTTTGTTGGATTATTTTCTTTAAAACAAAGTCGTATCTCAGCGGCTTTCCTCACTCTTAACTCGTCGAAGGTGCTCAAGACCCCCGTCTCCTCACTCTCTTTATCCTGGGCTAAGAAGTGCTCCCCCTGGTGCTGCAGGAAATCTTCTGGCGTGTTAAAGAGAAGGGAGCACTCGGAGCATTCATATGGGTGGCTGAGAAGCACCATTTCTGTTGACTGTGGATGGTTCTGAAACTTTGGAGCTAACCTCAGCTCCATTCTTTGAACACCGTTTTCAGTGAGTCCCTGTTTCGAACTTGCAGACAGCAACTTTGAGCGAGCAGGCGAGATGGATTTGTCAGCCAAGGCTTGAGCAGTTAGTATTTGCAAATGCATGGTTGCAGAGCCAGGGGCTGGTGTCACAGACGGCAGCAGTGTTGAGCGACTGGATTGAACTGGTTTTCTCATAGAGTGATGCTTCTTCTGTTGCTGCTGATGAGCTAACACCTGCAAATATACAAGAGTTTTTATTCTACCCATTTCTGAAGGTTTCTTGAAAGGGTCCTCACCTGAAAAAAACATAACAAATCTTCTCCCAAAATAAAGTTGAAATTCAATATACCTGTGCCAAAATCTCTCCTGCCTGCTCCTCACTTAGGACATGATTCTGCACACTATTAAGAGGAGTGATGGTGCCATCAGGCTGTAGGAGATACTCCTGTTACAAATGTAAACATACAGTTACAATTGTACATCCTCTAGAAGGAGAATATACACATTATGAATATGCTATATTAATGAATTTCATCACTTACAACCGTTGTGTCAGCATTAGAATGAGTAATACTCCGACTGTGAGTGTGTCTATGCTCCAGCCATGTTTCGGCAGAATTAAAGAGAGCCAAACAATCCAAGCACTGGTACTGGACTGGCTGTGAAGCTTGAGACTGGTTTACTTCCACTTCAACCTCACACAAGTCTGAAACATGAATTGGATTTTATATAAACCTACATCCATAACAAATTGGTAAACACACACAATTACCTTGTCTCATTTCTGCTCCAACCTCTCCCATGTGCATTTCTTGGTGCTGTAGAAGTTCCTCAGCATTAACCAGCAGTGTCCCACACTCAAGACACTGGTACTGTTGGTTTTGATCCACCTCTGGGATGTCTTGGACGATCATGCCTTCCTCTCCTTCTCCTTCTGCGGCAATGTGGATCTGCTGGTGAACGAGTACATCCTCCAGTGTATTGAAGAGTTGGTGGCATTCACTGCACATATACTGGTGCTCAACATATTCCTCCTCTGCCTCATCTTGTTGCCCAGCCATCCTGATCGATGTGTGGGAATGAATGAATCCTTCTCAGAGTAGGAAATGAGGCGGCAACTCTTGATTTCTCACTTTACTGTCATCTAGAGAACATAACTGAGGGCCTGTAATAGACAAGATAACAGATTATATTTATGGCTTTGTATGATTATCATCTTAATGTACACATAGATGAGATATACACAGGAAACCGTACACAGTATAGTTCTAAAACGTTCCGTAATAGTGGAGAAGAAAAACAAACAGAATGCTACATCGTTCGCTGCCAACACCAAGCTCTACTTTTGATGGACGTGGACGTACAGCAGGATAGTAACACTTTAATAAAACAAGAGGAGCTGTTATAAACATGTGATGGCACATGGAGAGCTCTTGGCGGCGCTCCCTTAGACGAAGCAGACCTGTTTTTATCGACACCGCGGTTTCCTGACTGCAGACGCCCGCTTCGCAGGGCGGTCGTGAGGCGGCGCTAGCTACTTTCCACCGGAGCTGTCTGTCCGCTACGGAAGGCCTTTTCTTTCTCTTATCACTCGGACGCACTCGTTGGATGGACACAGTTGTAGTCACCTCCGCCGCGTTAGTTCTGTTGTTTCCCGTTAGGTGGACGCATCGGGAAGACGAAAACCAAACGGAAACTAATTAATATATCCGCAAAACTCACCAAAGCATGAAATGTAATGTTTGCCGCCGATCACTTCTTTTCTGGTGAGCTCACGTCCCGCCCAATGCGGTAGTTCCCAACAACATCGATCATCTGATTGGACCGTGCAGTCTGTCTGGTGATCCGAGTAGTATTATTAACATTTTCCCGGATTATTATTAATATTACATATACTTAAACATAGCGTTTTATACAGAACAATGATTTATTTTACAAATACATATTTCACAGTCCCACAGAATGTGTCTTTAGCATGAGGCGTTTGTGGTGCTAAACAACTCCATTTCCCATGAGCTCTAGTAATCTGTACGTCGGTGTGCGTCACGTCCCCTGTCCCCCACCATCACTGATCTACAGAGGAAGAAAGGGGGAGAAGAGCCACCTACTCAGAACGCTGTAAGTGTAATTTATTTATCCAAGATTAGACATTACAAGCATGATGCCTGCATGGCAAAGGTTGGCACGTTGAGTAAAGATCATTATCTGTCCTGATTGTAGTTCACACAAATATGAGCGGCAGCGGGCGGCCCAGGACCAGCTCATTCGCTGAGCCTCCCGGAGCTCCCGGCTCCGCTGCAGCCGGTGTTGGATCATCTGTGGCCGGTGGAAGTGCGACAGGAAAGACCGGTGCTTCTCAGGCCAGTGGAAGTAGCGCGACGAGTTTTGGGAATTTAAAATTGCCCAGTAAGTGTTCGTTAGAAATGTCATTAACACGCCTTATTTTCAAGACTGTCCTTGTGTGTGAAACAAAACGTATTACTGCTTATGATCGAGCATTGTTACGCTGCTGCTAGTAGCATGTTAGCTGTTAGCCTCAGTTGTGCTAGCTTGCCCAAGTTAATCTAGCGTTATTGGTGTTTTTCTGTGCACACTCGATGTTACAAAACAACCCTGTGCATCATTACCCCATGCTTTTGTCAGGCATTACACTAGTGTATTTTGCTCTCTGATTCCTACTACATAATTCAGATTGAACGATTCCATGTTAGCACTTGTGTGGCTATTACTGTCTCCATCAGTGCCAGATGTGAGCTTCTAGCTAGGCTGGCTCGCTAATGGCAGTGATTAAAACTTCCCATTCCGCTCTGTGTGTCTAAAGATAAGTGTTTTCCTGGGAAAAAAAAGAAGTGAATCGGGTTATGTTTGCTTATTAACCAGCACATGTTGACGTTACCTTAACCTTATCTTCCTGAACTCTTGGTGCCTGACTGTATGTATTCTAAGTTACATGTGAACAGCAAAATGTACATGTTTGGCTTCTGTACATGCTTCAGTCTTAACCCCGAGACATGTCAGGAGTTTTCACCATAACGATAGTAATCTTGTTGAAATGTTTCCTATATCTACAGAATATAACTAATGTTCATGAAACATGTTCACAGCACTAGGGAGGAGCATGGAACTATAGCTACAGTTGATACATATTGTACAATTTAAAATCCCTTGTGTCAGTACATTGATGATGGGCTGTCTCGACAGGGCGCTCTCCCTTGTGGAAGAGCAAAGTCCACAGATTATTTATATGATTATATTATGTTTCATCATATTACTAAAATGGAAAAAGGGTTGGAACAGCTTTCCAATCCATGTTTCCTAATTATATAGTAGATGGTAGTTGATTTTAGAAAGAACTTTCTGATTGCCGTGAGAGTTGAGTTGCTTTCACACATAGCTTGGCTAAAAAGTTTTAACTTCTGTTCTGAGCTTGTTTTGCATTTGCTTTGTGTTTTGTCATGTTTATCTTACAGTGGAACTCTCACACAATCTTAGACTACCATAATCATAAAGCATTATAACATCAGTAAAGGCTTTACAGAGTGAACAGGTAGAGATAAATACCAATTCAATCTAAATGACACATGCCCAGCGCTATAATAAGTTGAACTTTTAGCGCTCATTTAGTATTGGATTGCTGTTGGGTGTTAAAGCAGCTCTGTTTGACTGTTTCTGTTGTATCTGCCAGCTGCTTGTCTCATTGAGTGTCTTAACTGCTTTGATTTGAGAATAATGTGTCTTCATTGAATTACCACACATAATTCAACATTATGACTTTTTAAATCCTCCCATAATCTTTTCCTGCAAAAAGATGTGAAATAAGAACCAATTGCTTAGGATATTCACTATTACTAGCGATTAGCACTGCACAACTGATCATTAAAACAAAGTGGGTACAGCGACTATAGATCAAAACCCGTTTCTGTTTTGGCCATATATTATGTGAAAGATATTTATATACTGGTGTCTAAATAGTTACCACTTTGCCGGGGTTATAGTACTTTGTTCCAACTAATTGGAGGACATTTAAATCATTATGTATTCATTATTATATTTTGTCTCAACCTGGGGAACAGACCTGGTTAACTTTACCACCGACCTCCTTTTTGTTATTTAACTTGCATTACAATACAAAAAATGTGAATTAATTTATTTCAGATGTTTTTGTACATAATATATGGCTCAAATTGCCAAAACTAAAGATTTTCATACAGCATATGGTGTGCAGAACACTTCCCAGTCAGCCTTCAGTCAGTCTTTGGTTTTGCGCTCTGTGAGTTTGCTTTCCCTCCCAATACCAGCAGAATCACCTGATTTGGCTAATGGGACAGAAAGGGGGGCCAGGAGAGAGACACTGTGTTAGATAAACATGTTTTTTCTCCTTTTTTTTTTACTGAACATAAAAAGGTGTGGAAAAACCAAGCAGTGGGTGTGGCACTGTCCATCCTCTTCTTTTCATGCCCAGACAGGTCCTCTTTTAGGAAGCCTTTCTCACTTGGCTGGTTGCAGAGTTGTCAAATTTCTTCTGTGACCAGACACATAAAAACCTGTGACCTGATCCGTTACATCTCTGAGATGTTAGAGATAATTTTTCCCATCATGTGTTGTGGCTATTTTAATTTTTAATGATATTGATGTAGGGCAGTAACATTTTAATTGTTTAATAACTAATCGATTATCTAAATGGATAACCCAAGTAATCGTTAAAAAAATCAAATCGAGATTAAAACATGCATTGATAAAAGGAAAATGCTCAAACATGTAAACCATTTTTTATTAGTTTCAATTTCATAACTTGTTTGTAGGATGTTCACAACTAGGCCTGTTGCAATATTCAATAAATAAATTAATCGCATGATAATAAAAATAAAATAAGCTAAATTTTTCTGGCCGCGATAAATTCCATTTGCATGCTTGTTTGTTTTCCCTCAAACTAGTAATTGGCCAACATTCACAGACATATATTGATGATATAAATAAGCATTGGCACACTTTTGTTTCTTTTACAAGATTCTGCTGCAAATAAACTGATAAAATCGCCTGGTTCAATGGGAATCTTCTTATTCTCTCTGACTCTAATAAAAAATAGACTACAACTACTGCAAAGTGATGGGAACAATTATTTATCAATGGGTGATGTACATATAAACCTCAAATAAATAAAAAACATCAGCTATGATTTACATAGAGGCCGAGTCCCCAGAGCAGCCTGAAGTTGTGCACAGCAGCCAAGTATTATGGACCAAATCCTGGCTTAAGATCCAGTGTTGAGGCCTGGCTCATGGACCACACAGGTAATGGACTAACCAAGTGCCCATAGTCTTTTCCTTATTGTGGGAAAAAGCCGATTAGAGCTAACTCAAACATGCTTTATGGGCAGGAGCCGAGAGCCACCTTAGTGACAACCAATGAGCCATTTAGAAGTGGCGCTGGTCTCTTCCCACTTAAGCTACTTACTAGCTAAAGCAAGATTCAGGGATAAGATGAACTTGATAAATTATTGATCTCACAATGAAGACATTTACAGTTGGCCAGTTGTTAAGGGTCCTATCTGGATTACAAAAGATAAAAAAACAAGGTTAATGTAGAGTATTAAACAATGGTGGTTGGTTAGTGTGACAAAAGAGCATCAGTTTTTAACTTTTTCAGAGATGTGATTAAATATTGCCTGTTTAATGCTCCTTTGTGATCTTGTTTTTTCCCTCCCAAAGGAGATAGTGGCAAAGTGACGACGGTCGTAGCCACACCGGGCCAGGGGCCCGACCGCCCACAGGAAGTCTCTTACACGGACATAAAAGTTATTGGAAATGGCTCTTTCGGAGTTGTCTATCAGGCTCGACTTATTGACAGTCAGGAGATGGTGGCAATAAAGAAGGTGCTTCAGGACAAGAGGTTTAAGGTATTTCTGCTGCTTAATAAAACACAATGATGTATAACCTCTCTACATTCTACTAAAGAATTACCTTTTGAATTGTTATATTCATTTGTTGTGTAATTCTGTTTGGTTTACAGAATAGAGAGCTGCAGATAATGAGAAAGCTGGACCACTGCAACATTGTGAGGCTACGCTATTTCTTCTACTCGAGTGGAGAAAAGGTGTGTTCACTATCAAATTCACGCTTGTCAAAGCCTGTCAGATTTGCTGACTGTTGGAGTAACAGAACTGTATTCTAATGGTCTATGTAGGTTTTTTTATTCTGCATGCTGATTTGGAATATTCTAGTCTTATCAGAAGAGTATCCAAAGTCTAGCACCAAAGAAGGATTTATTGAACTTTCTAATGCATCGCAACTGGTGCCAAGCTGTGACGCATTCTACATGTTAAATGATGTCTTTATTGTGAATGTATTCAAAGCATTCAGAATACAGTACTCTTATTAACAGCGTTACAAAATGAATTTTGATATTTGGAATACTGTAACTAAATAGCTGCCAAAGTTTTCCCCTAAAATTGAATTAGCCAATTAATCAATATTAAAATAATAAATACCCACTAAACATTCTCAAATGTTTGTCAGAATTGGCATTATATACAGCCAAATAAGATGGGCCTGAGACTTCCTTTGTCTCATGATGGCAACCAACAGCTTTGGGGAAATAATAATAAGCTAGTAAACAGATGAGGTAATGGCACGACTGCCCCCGTCTATCGATTCCGGCAAAGAAATCTTTGCCCCATGAGACCTAAACTTAAGATAGGCCGGTCTTTAGTTTTAGCAAATCCTGACATGGTAAAAGGGAGTCTAGACCAGTCGTAGCTGTGGTGTATCGTATGCATTCATAATTAGTTGTCTGGTAGGTGATTATTTTAATATTTTTTGTTTATTAATATTTTGTAATATCCTAGAGACTCTTTTTGTTTTTGAAATGGGTATTAAGCATTTGGAAAGATTTTACTGATACAATTCTGTAGTTTTGTGCTGACGCCGCAGGTTTTGTCCGTGAATGAGTTCTAGGGTTGAAACAACTAATCGATTAATCAACGACTAATCGATTATTGAAATAGTCGACAACTATTTTAGTAATCGATTAATCGCAAAAATGACATGAAAATGTAGTATTTTTGATTAAAACCAACTTTGTTTTTATAATTTCATGAATATCTGTCTGTCTCATCCAATCAGATAGCAGAATTAGCACAAAGAGCCTGTTACAAACATTTACTTTAAGTTTACGCCATCAATACGTCCTCGAGTGTTGCCACTTTAGCTTATTGTGATGAAAAAATTAATTTTTCTACACAATTCACAGCCAAGCGATTACTCGATTAATCGTAAAAATAATCGATAGATTAATCGATTACAAAATAATCGTTAGTTGCAGCTCTAATGAGTTCAAAAGAACACATTCATTGAACACGCTCATTTTTGTGAATGTTGAACTGAACGCAACACATTTTTTAATAAAGAACTTGAACGTGAATTAGTTCACATGTGTTATGAACAGCAGACATCACTGTAAATGAACGTTGTAATTTGTTTTCCATTGAAAACTTAGTGAGAGATGGCAATGTAATAATTTGCATATCTTGAGAATCTTCCACACTTTTTCCGCTGGAAAGCTAACGGCTTTTTGTGTAAAGTTCTTCTCCAATAATGCAGCTCTGCAGCGTCTCTGTGTCCAGAGACTTTATATAACAGGAGTATGTGTTCATGGAGGTGCGCCATAAGTTTATTTCATCATTAAACGGTACTTCCGCATTGGCAAACACGCTCGAAGCATTTGCATAAAGTCACGGGAGCATGAAAACGCATACGTTCACAAGCACTGTGTCCCCCATTGTCAACCCTGGTTTAGTCCTGGTTTAGCTCTTGTTTTGGCTGTTTACAGTATGTTCAGTCTGCTCGCTCAGACCTCTAATGTCCCCATGACCACTTTCAGGCTCTCTGATTGGTTGCTGCACGAGCGTCCCGAGGAAACGTTCAGCAATGTTTATCTGCTGCGTGCAATTGCGATTTTCTGCACCTGCGACTTTGTTGCGCAGTCCGTGCATTTCTACCGCGCAGTCTGTGCGTGAATCCCGAGAGGCACATGCAGTTCCACGCTCGAACGCTTGTCACCATTGACTTTGCATTGAACAGGGCATTAGCCTTGTGGACCACAACGCCTTGCTTACACTTGTCTCTTTCCTCTGACCTTTGTATGTAAATTAAGCAGAGACCCCTGAACTCAATCTGTGATTGGCCTGTTGCAGATGGTAATATTGTTAAGACAAAATAACGAGCTGGAAACAATTATATTCGTGACAGTATCAATATATATATTTCCATGTAGCTTCAAACTGAGATAATCATATTAAATCGTATTCATAGAAGCAAGTGAACATTTCTGTGCACTTTTAATTTATTAGACTGTATTGTTTAGACACAGGGATGAAACGGGTCCTCGTCACATTTGTCCTATCAATGTTCTCACAAATGTAGTATGCTGATGCCTCTGTTCCTCTGGTAACGCCCAAAGTGCTGAGAGTTTGCGAAACGGAAGCATGTGTATGCCTCACAACCTATATTTTGGCTCTTCATTGTGCATTAGAGTGCTTTTTTCTACAAGGACGTGTTGCATCTTGTATTGTGCTCTGTGGTTTTTACCAGAGCCAAAACTTTTGTTCAGAGGGCCGATGCGGCTATTAAAGACATCCTGGCATCTCTAACCTGTGACTACATCAATCTGAATTATGGGTGTGATTCGTTTTTCTTTCTTCAGTAATCTGATTTTTTTTTTTTGATAGTCGCTTCATCACTAACTGGTCTATGAAGTATCTATCTAGACCAGGCATGTCAAACTCAGGCATGTGGGCCAATCCGAAATTTATTGTAATTATCACTATTTCAGTAACTTGGAAATACCTTGGAATACTTAAGTTCAACATGCCATAGTATTCCTTATTTTCACAGGAAAGCAACTATATAAAAATAAGGATGTTCTAAAATGTTGACTAAAATGTAATTATAAGTTTGGCCCAAGATTTATATTTTTTGCAAAAAAAACTGGCCCAGTTGTGGTTTAACCCAAATCTACTCTAAGATAATATCCAAACTCACAAAAATATGTAAAAATAAAAAAAAGAGAATGGCCCCAACCTTATGTTTCTAAACTTGGCCCTCGACCAAAATGAGTTTGAGACCCCTGCTCTAGAGTGTGAGGCTGACCGCTCATTGATGCACTGTGTTTAACGGCTAAAGTAACTTCCTTTTATTCCATTTAACCATATTCTTTATTTTTATTTTTTCCCTGCAGAAAGACGAGGTGTATTTGAATCTTGTGCTGGACTTTGTCCCAGAGACGGTGTACAGGGTAGCACGGCACTTTAACAAGTCCAAAACCACAATCCCCATCATATATGTTAAGGTAAGCATGACACACTTTTGGTCTATCATTTCAGCTGTGCTTTAATTATGGTGTTTTATTGTCTGTCTGTGGGCCACATATGATCTAATTCATGTTTAATTAACCTTTCCAAAACACACAGGTCCAGGAATACACAAAAGCCAAATGAATACATGTAAAGTCTGCACATCTTAAATCTAAACTAAAACTCTGAGTACATTAGTTCACTGTTTCATAGATGGTGCCTTCCCACAGGGGAGGGCAGAGTCAGAACCCACTGTTGGCGAGACGGTGAGTGAGAAGGCACTCCCAGACCGTGTGACTGTAGGTCTCACCTCAGCACCACGGCACAAAGTGATTGTTGCGTCTGGCGTAAACTTATTGCTGAGAAGTTCAAGGGATGTTAATCCTTTGTAAAAAGATAAATCTGTTGGTGGTCTGGATTTATTGAGGCACAAAGTACATGATAATTAATTCACAAAAGGAGATATGGGATGTAATCCCTGCACCCTTGATTGTTTTTAAGGTGTTTCAAATGGCCAATTGGAGTGCTCTGATCAATCTGTCTCACGCCCCATTTCCCCATAATCCTCCTGTTCCCTTGTGATGGTAACGGTGACACACTCCAGTTTCTATGCGCAGTTCAGCTCTTGACAATGCACTCTGCCTTTGCCAGTACCTGGTCTCATTGATGGATGGTTCTATGCTTTCCATCACTTCTTTTAAAGTGCTTTGACACAAGCTTACATTTATATTATCTCTACAACCACACAATCAATTATCTTTTATGTTACATGTGGATAATGATGATAATCACACCGAAGATGTTTGTCACATTAATATGCTCTGCAGCTACCTCTAACGGCTCACAGGCTGAGTCTGCAATTACTGTTCCTAATCTGCACATGTTCTTCTCCTAAGATAACTGGTGCCATTTGAGAAATACAAGCTGTGCCATCCGACTTCAGTGAATTGATCATTTGTGCTCAAATATCATCATAATCTTTTATCTTCAGTATATTTAATTTAGAAATATATGTATATTACCGTATTTTCCGGACTATTAAGCCGCAGGCTCTAATTTTTTATAAAGAAATTGAATGTTGTACTTATACAATTGTGTCTTTTTACTTTGAGTAATAAGAGTAAGAAGTGAGTCACTGACTATTCTTAACTGTTTCACTTTCATGTCTAAACAGATCCAAAAAATTGTTAAATATATGAAATATTGACACAAAGATATTATAAGTGAGGACTGTTGAACTGTATTTATTCTGCTTGATTAACATATCTTAAAATTGAATTGCTTATTGTCCGGAATTTATGGTACATAGCATTCTTCATTCTCTCTATGTGCAGTAGAGTTTCTAAGTTACAAGTGTAAAACAGTTGTAAAATGTGTATCATTTGTCAATGTGAAGTCCACATTGTTGCTGATTGTCATAAATGTCTCTTCCAGGTGTACATGTACCAGCTCTTCCGCAGTCTGGCTTATATTCATTCCCAAGGTGTTTGTCACAGAGACATCAAACCTCAAAACCTTCTGGTAGACCCAGAGACTGCTATTCTCAAGCTTTGTGATTTTGGCAGGTTAGTCCATTGTTCCATTGTTTTGGGCACCGTCTAACGCGCATTAATGAAATCCTAAAGGTGTTTGTAGTAATCACTTTACTCACTCATTCTTTTCTTTCTCGCCCTCTCGTTATTTAGTGCGAAGCAACTTGTTAGAGGAGAACCTAATGTGTCCTATATTTGCTCTCGGTACTATCGTGCCCCAGAGCTCATCTTTGGGGCCACTGACTACACGTCCAACATTGACATCTGGTCAGCTGGTTGTGTGCTGGCCGAGCTGCTATTGGGCCAGCCTATCTTTCCTGGGGACAGTGGAGTGGACCAGCTTGTAGAAATTATTAAGGTATTTGACATTATCTTCATATTATTCTTTTTTCTTTAAAAATAACTTGGACTGTTACATTTTCAGGTTCTGGGGACACCAACGAGGGAGCAAATCAGAGAAATGAACCCTAACTACACAGAGTTCAAATTCCCTCAGATCAAAGCGCATCCATGGACAAAGGTTAGTCTTTGCCATGCTATTGTTGTTTACATAAATTACTTGAAAAAGGTATGCATAAAAAAACTAGATTAAGATTAAATCCCTCACTTGTATGCTAAGCTAAATGTGTTTTTTGTATTGCCACTGTTGATTCTAGTTGATGACAATGTTTTATCACCACTGCTGTCAGACTGTACAATAAGTCACTTGCATTAGGACTGAAAAACCTGCACTACTATTGACACTGTTTCTTGATTGCCACTTTTCATTGTACATAATATATCCTGCATTTAACATGTTTGTACATTTCTTTCTTTTTGCATAATCTTGAGTGTTTCTATCCATGCCAGATGTGACATGTAAATTTCTCCTGTGTGAGATCAATAAAGTCTATCTTATCTGATCTTATGTTATCTTCCTCAGGTGTTTAAGCCTCGGACCCCTCCTGAGGCCATTGCCCTGTGTTCACGACTGTTGGAGTACACACCAGTGACCAGGCTGTCTCCCCTGGAAGCCTGTGCACACGCTTTCTTCGATGAGCTGCGTCAACCCAACACCCGCTTACCCAGTGGACGAGAACTGCCGCATCTCTTCAACTTCAGTCCCGTCGGTCAGTTGACTAAACCTTATCCAACATTTCTTGTTCTTTTTGTGTTGTATCTAAAAAATAACCCTGCATGTTGTCCTCTCCTCAGAGCTCTCTATCCAGCCCCAGTTGAACATCACACTCATTCCTACTCATGCCCGCGCACAGACATCACCTGCTTCCCATGGTAGTATTTTTTCTCACTCTATTACGCTTGGTATTTGTTGGTTTTGTTTTTGTTTTCTTGAAATCTTCCGTTCTATCATTGAGCTAATGAAGTTATTCTTTTTCCTTCAGAGGGCAGTGTTTCAGACAATACCGCCCAACCCGGCTCAGCACCTGGATCTATCAGCAACAGCACCTGAAGATCACTTCTTTGTCATCATCTCTTTGATTTTGTTTTATCCCAGTTTCCTCTCCTTTTCTTCACTTTCCTGTTCAACCTCCCCCTGGCTCCGAACTAAAATCCTGTCCCACCACAAAGAAAAACTCAAGAATTCTCCCTAAAAAGTTAATATTCTTCTGTGGACAGCAGTTGGCTTTGGGAGGATTCGAGTTGTTTGAGGACATTAAGCTTCATGTTTGTGGCTTTGTGGTTTGTCCACTAGAATAAAGAGCCTTTATATTGGGTAAGGTGTTTGGGAGAGCAGGAGAGGGTTGTCTGTGGTATGTGTAGAAGTTATAATCAGTTTTATTGTTTTATATACATTTTATTTAGCCAGACTCGTTATTGGGACCTCGATTAGTAAACCGGAGATTTTGTCTATTCTTGACAATCATGTATGGCGCGATAAATGCTTGATAACAAAGCATTTCACTTTCTTGTCCGTCCTGCCCCATTGTGAGTAAAGGAATACGCAAAGTTTTTTATTGTCCTTTGGCAGAAAAAAATTTGTGGTTTTCATTATTTTAAGACAAATATTTTATGAAATATGAAATTTGGTTTTATATTATACAATGCGACAGCACTCTCAACCCTGAATGAGGGATTGTGTAGAAGAATAGTTCACACCCCTCGGATTGTTCAGTAGTCATCACACAAACCGGTTATTTGATCCATATTTTCCTCTTCTCTTCAAAGGAGCATCATTAGCGGTTTTAATGTGTTCCCACTGGAAGTAGTGACTGAAAGACTCACTCAGTTTGGGTTTATTCGATGAATTATGTCATTGTAGCGTGTTGGGTTACATGTAAGCTTTGTTATGTTCAAGAGTCTTGTACAGCAGCGGGGTTGTCGTGTAGCTGGCTTGCCATATTCACTGCGAGTGAAAGTGTAAAAGAACCCTCTTCTCCTTCCTGAGCAACCTGCCTGCAGTGTTCATATCATGACTTTCTGATTTGACGGAGGACTTGTCGACGTGTAGTTTTTCAGACGTCGATGATGCAAATGTGCATGTTCAGTCACACACTTTTTAGTGCAACCACTGGGTAATCTGACCAGAAATTATGCTGAAAACCCTAAAAGAACTTCTGGAGCTTTCCATTCCTTCAAACAAATCCCTTCTGCTTTTTCATTGCTCAACTGTAAATATTAAGTATGTTTTATTTTAATTTTTTTTGTTATTATTGTTATTATATTGTTGTACTTGTAATTTTTTTTTCTCTAGTAGACTTGAGCGACTGTTTATTCTCAGTCGCAGTCTGTAAATACAATTTCATTTCAGACCCTGGTTCAGGGGGGAAAAAAGAACAAAATGTTTCAATTTTATTCTCTCCATTGCTCTCTTCATTACTCCCTGATGTCTCATAAATGTTGCCATGACTGTTTTATTTATTGTATTATATTTTTGGGGTTCTTTTCACTTTTAACTACATCATACAAATTGTGGGGAAACTCATTTTATTCCATTATTCCCCATGTCACAGGCAAAATTATATTACATCGAAGATACTGTACTTTGATCCAGACGCCCGGGTGAAACGACCATTGTTTTAAATGCACATGGAAATGCCCAGTGAACTTCAATGTGAAGGGAATGTTACAAGTGTCTGGATCTTTGGCTGGCATGTGGAAGGGTGCACAGATCAGCCTGTATGTGTTTGTGTGAATGTTTGTGTGTATGGACCAGGGGGGCATCCTTCTGTTGACTGGTAAAATCTCCTTTGTCTGACTGTTTTATCTTTGCTTAAATGTGTCGTATGAGTGATATGAGTGAACTGGGTTACCTATCAGCTGGTATAATGCTTCTCAGACAGCTGTGCGGGAAATGTATGTTTAAATACAGTAGGCCAATTTGCTGGAGGACTATGAACGTATTGTTTTCAAAGCAAAATGCTGACTTGTGCAGTTTAATTTTTCTCACGCTGTTGACATTAGTTTTAAATTTTGCTGTGATCATGCTCTTATCACCTTTTTGTGAGTTAATTGTCAACGTCGTAAACCAAACAGTTGGATGAAGGAGATGACTAAAGAGAGGAATGGAGGGAGAGTTTTTTTGTTTGTTGGTATAAATGATTAAGCTCATTAATAAAGTGATGAAACAGGTTTTGTCTATATTTATGACACATCTTTAAACTTCATGTATGTGCACATAGTCATTTTTAATTTGGGGTAATAAAGTAATCTTCATCCCAAATGCATGTAACTTGTTCCTAGCTCTCAGAGCTGAGGTTCTATCACCTGTTTGCATGGCCTCTGTCGGACCTTTAGATCATCCCTGAGTTCCGCTCTTGGTATGTAAAAGATATGTTTTATAATTGGATAAAGACAGCATGTCAGGTCTGATTTGTTCTTTTGGGACAAAGAAAATATATGAACCATGTAGGAGACAGATCTGACAGCTGGTGACAAGGCGGGTAAATGCATCTGTTCGTATGTCGAGTTTCTATTGGTTGGCTGACTTCACACTCCACCAATCAGCGCGAAGCTTCTACTCACCAAGTTTCCCCTTTCCCCGTCGCTGCTTTACCTCGGTTGAACATTCACCAAATAACAATCAGGTTTGTTTATAGTACATTTAGTTTAAGTTGGTGATTTAAACTATTTTCAGAGCATATTTCCTGCATGTGCGCGCATTCTCCTGCAGCGTTCAGTGTCTGGAGGGTTTCACCGGGGGGAGACAGCTAATGATGAGTAAAAGTCCGCGTCCGCCATTACACCAGAGAAGAAGCACATCACACCCTCCTCTTCCTCGGATCTCTTCTTCTTCTCCTGTGGTGTGGATAAGTAAGCGCCTCTCACTGGTTAAAGCCATGGTTAAAGCGCTTCAGACGAGCTCAGATACTCGCGTACATCGTCACAAAATAACACTCGTCCTTTGGTGGATTTTGGTGTAATTCTGGGATGAGATCAGAGCCTCGTTAGCAGGGCTGGCTAATCATGTGGCTAGAAAAGAGCTACTGCTGCTAAAGTGGAAAAAGCCAACAGCTAGCAAACTAATGCTAAATGCTAACTTGGCGGGCTAACTTTAGTGTTAGCTTTGTTTTGAAACTATAATATTGTCGTAACTGTGTAATGTAACCACTGAGTTACAATTTTTTCTGTACTTATCACTGAAACATGACCATTCTGAATGATCATACAGTTTATCATCTACGAGCTGTCATGCTGCAAAACTTGGCTCGTCAACATTTCTATTATCTGTGCATGCACTGCTTTTATCACTTTGTTTTGGTGGTATGGGCTCTGTAAGATGGGTCTTTATTTATACGTTTTATTCCTCAAAGAAATAATCCGGAAATTGTATACAAATAATATTCATTTTAACATGTATAAAAGGTTTGTAAGAATACTAATAATGCAGCGCTTTTTTTGGACTTTCACATTAATCTTCACTCCATACACGGCGGTGATAAACTAGTACTTAAGCCACAGCTGCCCTGGGGCACACTGACAGAATCAAGGCAACCAGTATGTGTCATCGGCCTCTCAAACAATCACCAACCATTCACACACACACATCAGACTCATTCTAGGAAATGGCATGACACTTCACCCACAACGACAGCTCTGCACTCTACTGCTGCAGCTGCCCAACTGTGGCTCCTGGTGTTCCCAGAAGTCCAAAGAAGCACTGTATAAAACTGATGCAGCATTATTTTTTATTATGATCATTACTGTTATCTTTCCCACCTAATCCTACTCCAACATTGCCCTTCGTTGAATGGCTTTTTTATACCTAACTTGGGTTTGTTTAATGTAAATATCAACCACGTAAGCATTGAGCCAAAAATAAATTAACATTAAAGTATAATTTTTGTGCCTTTGTTGCGTTCTAATCAGGGACTTTAACATATACAGGACTAACCCCCATGCAAATGTGAACATAGGTTCATGATAATCTCTCGTTCCACTTGTACGTTCAGGTATGTGTGTATGTACGAAATGATATATTACAGTAGCAACATTTTGACAAAATAACAGAAATAATAGTGAAAGTTGCTATAAATTTGTATGGCACAATGAACACACGAGGCAACTCAAAAAGCTGTATTAATAGTGTAAATGTAATGATATATTTTTTGTGTAACCATTCAAATATGGTACTATTATCTTGAATAGCCTAATAACTTATTTTACCAACAGGGGGCAGTAGGACATCAGACATTTTCAACCGTTCAATGGTTAGCTGGTTTTTGCTGCTGGGTTAAGAGCGTGAGGTTGTGTTTGATTACATTCAAAGAAGCTTGAGAGAGACAACACTTCCAATGGGTCCAATTACAGCAGGTCTAATTGATAGTACTGCTAAATGCCAGCCTGGTTGATTAGATGTAGCTGAGCAGAATGACGTGGCATATTTTACACCTTTTTACCCCTGCAACTTGCATGGTCAAAATACCAATTAGCTCTCACTCAGTCAGCGCATGGTGAGTCATCTTGCAGCCCTGGAGTTAGCCTCCTGGCATCAAGTCTTGGCTATTTTCTGATCCGCTTCTGTTCGTCAGGAGGGGGCAATGTTCTCACACAAACATCCACAACTATGGCTAATTTGTTTTATTGTATTCTGAACACTTCAATCTATGTGAGATTTATGTTACAGGTGATTTGGGGCAGTCCCAACGATTGCCATGGAGACTACTTCGGTCTACATGTGTTTCCCCTGCTACCAAGAGTTTGACACTCTGGAAGAAGTACTTAAACACCAGTTGACGTGCACTGCTGAGGAAGAAAAGCCCCAAGTCATGGCCCCCGCTACTGACATTCCTCTGATCCACCCTCAGGTAAACTTTTGTAGTTGGGATATGACACAATACCTCTGATTTTGTTTTATCTAAAGCAGGGGTGTCAAACTTATTTTGGTTGAGGGCCGAATAAAAACTGAAAGGGCTGATCAGGGGCCGAAAGAATAAGTGGGTTTAATGTATTATACTTGTTTATAATATGAAGGTATCTGTATAAATGAGTTGTTTCACATTAGTTGGACTGGACCAAAACTGGACCAAATATTGAAGGTAGAGGAAGACATTCTACTTCTGTCAATCATTCTGGTGATTCGTGCTCGTCCAATCAGACCAGAGAGTTTTGTTCAGAAGAGGAGAGGGCGGTTCTTTCCTCAGAAAATTGGGAAATCCTCCTTTATATCTTTAAGAAAAAATGTAATTGAAGACTCGTAAAAAACATTACATAACAATACAAACTTTTACTAACTACATTTTATGGTTGTTCCTTGAGAAAATTAATAAACAACAAAAAAAAACATGCCATTGTTGCTTATACCATCAATGCTGCTATTTAATATAATAAATTAAAATCATCTCAGGGGCCACTGGAAATGGTCTTGCGGGCCGGATCTGGCCCCCGGGCCTTGACTTTGACACCTATGATCTAAAGCGTTCGTTATAACTCGTGTGTATGTTTTAATGATACAACTAATCAAGTTTTTTCAATAATACACAACTATTTTAGCCATTATAATTGTTTTGTTAGCTGCTCTATATATACAGACTCCATATCACATTCCACAGCACTTTAGTGTTTTGAAGACTCCGAGAAAATAATATAGGCCTAACCCTAACCTTAACCCATTCAATGATAGAATATTATCTATTACAGTTGTGTCATCAAATAAAGATAAAATAAATAAATTCCTGTTTGCTAAACTACTTACTGATTTTTAAATGTTTATTATTATAACTTATAAAATATATTGTCCCCTGCTCCGATTTCTCGCAATAAAAGATGAGAGCACTCTGAACATAATGAATCTTATGCAGACTTGCCATCGGTGCAAGTGCTCATAACAGAGTGCATAGAAGGATGTTTCAATATTGTTCAAATGTGTTTTTACAAACTTTAAAGGTGGATTTCTCTTGAGGTTATTCGTCCAATTAACATGAAATAAACTCATTTTGGAGCTCTGCCTTCCGCACCTGGAGCAGCTTTATTATAGATTTTACTGAGACTACAGCGGCACAATCTTATGTTGAATTCACTTACAGCTTGTGTTGCTTTTTTACCATAATTTATAATGGGAACAACTTTTATATTTATTGTGAAACAGCTGTAATTTTCATCTTTTCATCATTGGAAGTTTCCGGCTCTACTCTGACTCGTCTTTTCAAGCTCGATCTCTGCCAAAATAGACATATAACTCATTTTATTGACTTGTCCACGCACCTACTACTCACAGATTTTGCTCTTTCCCGAAGCAAAAATCATCACACAAGTTCACAACATCATCCAGCTAACTTCAGCTCTGCTAATCGTCACATGCCATATATCATTTGAAAGAATTTGATATCTAGTGAAATGATACGCCATCATTCAGGCTTCTGCTCATTCAACTTCAGCCTCATGAAAAGTTAATATATCACTAAAAATAAACAGTTTGATCAAAGATAATTGTGTTTATTATTTCACCCCAGATCTAATATATCTTGTCTTGTTCTTTTAGCAACAGATACTGGATGTAGCAAGAACAATTGTGCAGCCCTTGGCTCTAGCCCAAGAACCAGTGACGAGTCCAAAGAAGCCCTCAGCGATTGAGAAAGAGCTGGATCAGCCCCGGATTCTTTACCAATGTGGGGACTGTAATGAGCTGTTCAGGAGCTTGGACCTCTGGCAGGAGCACCGTAAAGCAGGGGGATGTCTACAGCCAGCGGATAATGAGGAACCCATTTCAGAAGATACTCCTGCGACCTCTACAGCCAGCCCAGAGACAGCTGTAGATCTCTCTAGCTCCTTTGTTCCTAAAGATTGTGTGAGTGAAAATGTGACCCCTGAACCAGAGGCTGAAGCTGCAGCCACCGCTGTCGCTGCGGCGCTGGAGCAGAGTGAACCTGCTCCGATGGAACAATCTGATCCTCCTGTCGCTGAGGCCAGAGCAGAAGCTGTTAATCCAGATGAGTTCTCTCCTCGACGACGGGACCGAACCAAAAAGCCCAAACCTGAGCCAGTGCTCCTGTGTGTGGACTGTGGCTCCTCCTTTGGCCTGGTGCCTGAGCTTGTGGCCCATCGAAAAACACAGCACGGCTTTGAGGAAGCACTGCACCGCTGTGGCGTGTGCGGCGAAAGCTTTCTCAACACAACCCTTTTCCTCTACCACCGCAAGCAGCACCGGCAGCGCGGCGAGGAGGTGACTGTGCAGGATTTAGTTGTTAAAAATGCCGTTAATGAAGAGCCAAATAAACCCATCAACATAACTGTTAGCTACCCGCAGCCCATACAGTTCCTGTGCACTGAATGTGGCCAGAGCTTCAATGCGGACCACGAGCTCCTCTCACATCGTCAAGTGAAGCACGGCCTCACGAAGCCCCTCCACACCTGCTCCACATGCAACGTCGAATTTATGAACACGACGCAGTACCTTTACCATCGCAGACAGCATAGGTTCATAACAGACTCACCCGACGAGGCCACCACGACTGTCGAGACCGTCATCACCGAAACCCAGGATTCCCCGAGGACAAAACGAACCCTCCTGGCTGCAGAGTCCAGTGCTCCTGTTGAGAAGAAGTGTCGCACCGCCCTTAAAGTCGTGAATGCTGGACTAAAAGGTACAGGTGTAACACTCATTTATATCGCTTATGTTATGTATTTTTTATGCGTTTTGTTTTTATGCCCTGTGCTCCTTAAATGAATTGCCCCTTGCCCTTGGTGGGAATAATAGTAATATTTGTAGTAGTAGTAAAGTAGTTTGAATATGAATCAATCTGCCATTTGGACATTATATAAATTTTTGCTCTATGGCACATGTGTCCAAGTCCCACAAGGGCAGCATTGATGGTACCCTGGCATATTATACCTCATTGTAAAGTAGTTCCCCCAAGAAAACAACCAACCATTGCCATTGAATGCATTTGAAAATCTGTACCAAACATGTATTTGCATAATAGTTTGATAAATAAGTCTACAAATACAAGCCTCCTTCACCTATGACAAATGACCTCTTTTTGACAGTTTGTGTATTTGTTGTTCTTATTAGCTATAAAATCTGAACCAGACGATGGCAACACGACCACTGATGCCAATTCTGGAAACTACCCCCCTGCCAAGCTGCTACACGACTGGTCCCGGACACCGCTTCCTCATGTTTGCCCTTATTGCAGCAAAACCTTCACGCGGCGCATCTTCCTCAGAGCCCACGTCTTCAGCCACACGGGAGAAAAGCTCTTCACATGCAAGGTGCCAGAGAGGATACAGGGTGTCGTAGCATATGCTTTGATGCGGTTGTCACGACGCCGTCATAAAACACAATGATGTAATGTTTTGAGAGTTTCGAGCAAATGGGAAAATACAGGCTGACGGCTCACACGCCTCATTATATTTGACAGATTCCCGACAAAGACAATTGTATCTCAGTAAAGTAAACATACGCGTGATTAATATTTAATTACAAATAAACAGTGTTTGTTGTGTTGTTGTTGTATAGGTGTGCTCAAAGTCTTTCAACAACTCCCAGAGCCTGCTTCGCCACAGTTTGTGCCACACCGGAGCCAAACCATACTGCTGTAACATCTGTGGCAAAAGTTTCTCTCAAGCGGCCACACTGAAGCGCCACCAGCAGCTTCACAATGTCTCACAACCTCGGAGGAAGAGAGGAAGGCGACCTGTATGGAACAAAGATTTCTGTTTAGTCTCATGAATGTGTGAGATATGCAAGTTGTTCTAATGCTTCTTCTGTTTTGTAGTTGTCGCATCAGGGTGAAGATGAAGATCTTTTTTCTTGTCCTCGCTGTCCATCTATGTTCAACACTGAGGAGCAGCTCAACGATCACAAGTAATGTAGCAAGGACATTATTTACTAAATGAGCTCAGAGTTGATCTTTTCTGTGTTTGAAACCCCATTGAACATCTATGGTACTGTCATGAAAGGCCAGAAAAAGGAGATTTGGTTATATTGATTTGATAATTTTCGCCACTTGATTTACCAGCACTATATTTTGCATGTTTTCATCTGAAAGTTTCATCACAAAACGGCTGCTTTTAAAGGAATACACCTGGCTTTATAACATTTTTCAATATTTTTAAGATCTATAGTAACAATTTATTGTATGCAAAATGTAAAATAAGGCACTTTACTGAGGTATTTCTTTCTAATATATACATACATGTAATGTATCTTAAATGCAATCCTACAAGTGGGAGTTTTACCACTAAAGACTAAAGTAACACCCCTGTCCAATACTTAATTGACTGAAATCTTTTCTTTGTTTGAACAGACTGCTTCATACCAGCCATCCTTTCCCTTGCTCTGAGTGTGGGGAATCCTTTAAGCGCAGAAAGGACCTCGACCTTCACTCTCTTGCTCATCAAGGTTAGTGTTTTACAAAAGAAACTAGTCGCATATTGACCTGACTGGGCCCAGTCAGGATGATGGCGATCTGCATTATTGAAGGGCTCCAGAAGCTGGGAAAATGCCTCTGAAACTCAAAAGTATCTGTTTGATAGAAATTGGCAGTATGGCGGTGGTGCCATGATATCATTTTCCCAGTATTAGATTAATAGTTTGAGCCCACCCTGCCTTTAACGCTGCTTGGGCCAATGGAAAGACATGCTTCCCCCTTTCAAGTATGGTGTTGATAACGGCTCGAAGCAGATGGCTGTGTTTGTGAAAAGCCATCATGGGATCGAGAAGACGGTTGTGTGGAGACTCTGCATGTCCCGCCTTCTTATGTTGAACATGCCTTTTTAGTTTTGTTAAGACAAGTGCCTATGGAGAAGGGAAAACAAAGAAACAGGGATATTACCTAATTATGTCTGGGAATTAGTTTAGCGAGAATTTGTTTCATGAAAAGCTTTTTATTTTGTTTTCCTCAAGGTTTTTATTGCAGTTCAGTAGTTTAATTGGTTGAAATTAAAATGTGTTTTACCAAGAACTAAACAATGAAGGGTCTAATTAAATGTATTTCTCAATCATTTCCATTTACAACCCACATTCACACTTTAGAAAGTGTCACAAACATCACTACTGTTTGACAGACACCAAAGACGGCGACAACTCCCACACACTCTTGCTCCAGGAATATTTTTGCTGAAGCAAGGTTGTTTTTAGGGCTGGGAAATATACTACACTTCTTGGTAAAACAGGTATCATTTTGGGGATTAATGAAACTGGAATGCAGCACTGGTGATGTTCACCTTTGGTTTGAGCTCGTGGACAAACAGCGGTTGTGATTGTAGCTGCAGCTGCAGAACTCTGCAACAAGTGTCCCTCCTAACACGGTCCGGTGCGTGCGGGCCCTGGAGAGTCCACAGACCGGCTCTGCTCAGGTTGATGATGACTGCTGCTATAATTATTTCGTGAAAAAAATTAGACCACTACATGCTCTAAACAACTCCAAGTTGTCAAAAATACATGATATGTTGTTCTTATGTTTTTGGCCCATCGCCCATTCCTAGTTTTCTTTCCACTTCCAACTGTAGAAAAATGAGTGGCCATAGTGAGTAGGTTTCTGAGATATATATATATATATATATATATACACACAAAATCATAATCCATGGCCGGCAGGCAGGAGAGCTACCATTTAAATTATTCATATTTAAGACAAAATCCTGTCTTCTATTGTTGCAGTTTATGGGGGTATTCAAATGAAAGATTATTCCGCTGCACTAAATCCGTTCTATGCATTCTTTTTACACTTTTTGTTTTATCGCAGCCAACAGGTTGAAAACTAATCACTGTCGGTTAGTATTGTATTACATTTATTTATAAAGCACTTAATGGAACCACTGCCTGATTATCTGAACTCTGGCTCTCTGAACACAAGAACACAGGACCATTTTGCTTAGAGAAATGGTTGTATGCGAACTGAACTTTTATAGAAGGCTTTTACTTTGAGTTATATTTATGATAACAGGTGTGTGAAATTTGCCAAGTAGGCTGAGGAGAGCAGTCCCTGAACATTGCTGTTGATCAATGCAAAGTCAGCGATCCATCTGCCCATCCTCATACCAGAGTGGTTCTTGTTTATTTACAAACATGCAGTAGGTTTGTACGAGGTTTGCATTGATTTAACGCCTTTACATTGATCTCGAGAGGCATGGCAGAGGGAGGCGGAGCTAAATGAATTGGGTCAACATGTTGACACTTCATCTTAATCAAGGGCGGGGCATTTGCATGGCAACCTCATTAGCTAAGCTTGAGTCAGCACACAGGGTTCAGGGGTATGAGACTCCTCAGAGAGCGATGATTGGACACATTGATCTATTGATCAGTGTCGGGCCATAGGCCGAGTCTGTCCTTATTAAAGGTTTAATTAGAGGGTCCCAAAGGGAACTTGTGAGTGGATCGCCCCCACTGGATTTCACTACAGATGGTCTGTGGATTGCAAGATGTTTGGATGACAACCTATGGACCTACTGATGAGCCTTCAGTGTCCGCTACATCCCCACTAGATTTACCACAGTGGTCTGGTCAAGTGGGCTATGCAAATACAAAGCTCAATGAATTTATCATTTTCATTATCTATAAAGGATTAAAAGAATTCTACATCTGAATAGGATTTTCTAAAGATTGATTAATTGACACAAATGCATAAGGAATTTCAATTATTGTTTTGGCACAGTGCTTGGCCCTGGCCCTGACTCTCAGACAAGGTGCTTTTCAAGTTTTCTTGCAATAGTATATTGTTTTAGATTGTCCGGTCTTTTATTAGGTTTATTTGCCTTCCTTGTCTGACGGATTAATACATTTATTTACATAAAATGTTAAATTATCGCGTCGTATGTGTATTCACTTATGTTCATATTTTCACTTATGATGCACTACACTTGTCTTTATGCAGATAAGATGCCGGCCATATGCCCCCACTGTTCATCCCAGTTTGTAAACCAGACAGTCCTCGACATCCACCTGCAGCGCTGCCCAACAAAGGAGGACGACCGCAACACTGGTCGAGGGCGCGGGCAGGGCAGAGGGCGCTCCACCGGGCAGGTCAGACCACAACTTATCAGGAACATCATCATCATCTATACAGAAAGCAGCTTTTATTTCTGTGTTTTATTAGTACTGAGATTCAAAATACTTAGAATGTAGGAAACAAAATCCTAATGCCCTGTGTAAGGTGGCCTTTTTGGCATTTCTATGTTAAAAGCCACAGTAGTTTCTTTAGGAGCAGTAAGGTGGCGACTTCTAACAAATGTCTACAGTCACATTCAGCAATGTGGCAACACCACAAACACACTGACCTTTTCTCTATTCATAAGTTGTGGCGCTCCTCACATCCGCGACTGAGGACAGTCCTGTGTTTTACTGACCTCCAAAGCGGGTCTCTGTCCTCTCAGGTGGAGTGTGACCTGTGCGGACATCGCTGCATGACGCAGGAGGGCCTGGAGCTGCACCGCCTGTCCCACACAGGTCAGACGCCGCTCAAATGCCCCGTGAGGCCTTGTCGCCGCCGCTTCATCTCACACAGTGCGCTGGAGGAGCACGTGCTGGCCCATTTCCAAGGAACGCTCCACAAGTCCAGGAGTCGCGCTCGCTTCCGCTGCTCAGTGTGCCACAAGGAGTTTGCTTACAACTCGACTTTCAAGGTTCACATGAGGACGCACACGGACGAGCGGCCCTTTGAGGTAACTGTCTTTTGTGTGTCTCTGTACATAAAATTAATTGACTTCCATTTTCATTAGCACATTCAATAGATTTATAAATACGACCTGCTCTTTATTTTACCTTTTATGCACTCATTAGACATAATTCTGATTGATGTAAAGGGAATTACATGAACCATAAAGTCCTGGAATGTGTGCATGTATAGACACTATTAAGTAGCATCACCAGCTCGCTTCATTTACCCTCGCCACTGTGAACTAAACATGTAAATCAGTTTTAAATATTTTAATTTTTTATTATATTTTATTAGGGCATTTTAGAAATAAGTATGTTTTGAATTACGTTTTAGAAATGTACACAGACTTTGGATGAGACAAGGTGCTCACTGGAACAACGTAGCAGGTAATAAAGTGAATCTAAACAAGGTTCTCTGTAGACTTCAGCTTTACAAGTAGAAGAGAAGGAGCCGAGGCGACTCTGGATTTAGCAAAACTGCGTGTTTTAATCGAGAGTAATCACTCTTTCTCCTCATAATCCACACTTCTATTTGACAAAATTTTTATGAGATTGAAATGCTGTAGCTCCCTATTGAGACTAAATGCACAGTAGATGATTATTGCATTGGATGCACAGGTGTAAATGGAAAAACATGAGTGCCTCATTGCAGAGAAGCTTTTTGTACGGCTGCCATGTCGCTTACTTTGAGAACAAGTACATTGAAAATGTACTTCAAAGTGCCTCAAGCTGAGGCTTGTGATGAAACACAATGTGCATCAGGAACTGTATGAATATTAACGGTTCCCTATGGCGAGGGATGCACCGATAACACTTTGAATTCTATTACATTTTTGATAACACGTGTTATCCCTGGGAATTCATCAAACTAATCTGAAATCTAAAATATGTTTATCAATTGAACATTTCAGCAATTGTTTTAATAGTCAACAATAAGAGCCACAGTGATATTCTGCTCATACAAAAGCTACAAAGAAATAGCTGCGGTACTAGCAAAGGTTATTCTGTGCGGTGGTGAGTTTGATCAAGTTGCTGGTGTTATACGCGTTTGTTTTAGACCCACCTCGTGACAGTTTTGCCTTACTCAATGTACAGTCTGCTTTACTTTTGTCACTCTTGTTTACTTAAAAAAACTGCCATACGGCCGACATCTTCCCGCTAGCTTGCTTGCAGGTAGCTTGCTTTCTTGCCGCTGACTTTGGGAGATCACCATGACGACACTTGTCGCACATCTGTCTGCTGTCGTGACGCTAATGTGAATTATAATGTGGGTATCTGTTGCGGGTGGTCTTTGATGCTAACGGAGTCCAGAGACTTCATATAACAGCAGTATGTGTTCACGGAGCTGCGCCATAACTTTATTATATTAAAAAGCTGTTCTTCTGCTTTGGTAAACATGTTAGCAGCATTTGTTTACAGTCACGGGAGAATGAGAACTCGGGCTGGAGGCATATGTTCACCAAGCACTGTACCCCCCATTATCAGTCAGAGTTTAGTCCTTGTTTTAATCTTGGTTTAAGAAGCTGGAACACGGCTTTTCCAGAGTGGCCAGAAGAGTCATTGATTATTCTAAGAGGCAGCTCATAGTCCTTCAGCGGAGCACCTTTTTTAGAACTCTTTCTTTGGCTGTGAAAAAACACAGCAAGCAAACACAAGCAAACTTTCAATGTTGCAGAAAAATTACTGATTAAAGTTCAGCAGATTCTTTGTTTGTGGTAAATTGCCGAAGTTGCAGCAGAAAGAAGAGACTCTGACGAGCTTTCTTAACGACCTGGTTAGTGTTTTTGTCACTTTTCATGTCATTAGACAGTTAAAGCAAGAAAATTTTCACTCCTCTACAATCTGCACTTGGGAGTTATCACTAACAGGCAATGCACATTTTGGATCGCGAGTGATTAGTCAAAGCAAAAACAAGCTTGAGAACAACATGAAGTATAAATGTCAATCAAATATGAATATTGCATATTTTCTGTTGGTATAATGTATATGCCTGCCTTAATATGCCTTCATTTCTTTGCTGATTATCTAATACCCATTGCTTACCTCTTCAAACTGCTCAAAGAGCCAGTGTTCATGCAGGTTTTCATTCCAACCATGCAGGATCACACCAGTCTACACTGGACTCACTTGATGGAATGGACGCCTGCTACACTCCAGTTTGGTTGGAATGAAAACCTGCACGTTGCCTTGTACCTGCTCTAAGCATTGCAGTTAGTCCAATATCACAAAACTCAATCACACAAATTTATTTTTGTGTGGTGATCTAATAGCTTGGAGCGCTTGTCCTTTTTTTCTGGTGTATATGTGAATTGTGGTGACTTGGCGACTGGTGCAGTTTGAGCCCGGTGTCCCGGCACAGGGCCATGTGCCGTGTGTCCTGCGGGTGTTCCCTGCACACTGGTGTACCTGTGATTAATAACGGGGCTGACTTAAGGCCTGTCAACTCCCCCCTGTGTCTGTTACTATTCTGGGACTCTGCCGCTCTGGTGATGAGGCAGGACATCAACTATAGACCAACCCCAGCTCATCGGACAGTAGAAATTGATTTAATGTTTGCCATTTCACATAAAGTCATATCAGCTGTGTTTATGGTCCAGAGGATTTCAATTCAAACAAACAATAAACTAAATCTGACAAACACACCAAAAGAAGACCTGGGATCACTGAAACCATGGATAAAACCAGGATGGTTCCATCAATCCAGCATGTTCCCCTGGCCCCATCAATGTCAATACGTTAGTTTTAGTATTTAGTACTTATATAATCTTAAGTGGTATCAGATGGCAATTTGTTCCTTTGTGCATTCTTAATTTTACAGTTAGAGTTTACCTTGAAATCAGGTCAGTATCTTGCAAAGGTTTGTTTGCAGTCGCTATATCCTCTTTCAGTATTCCCTGTTGAGTGTATTATTTGTGTTAGCCCATTTTTACTGCTGTGTGTGCAAAATGTATAAAGAGGAATGTAAAGATGTAATAAAAGCTTTGTCTGTTGCCCAGAACATCTTGGTGCTCATAATTTAATCAGCTTTTGTCTCCATGTCTTTATCTCTTCCCCAGTGCTCCACTTGTGGCAAGCGCTTCCGGCAGCTGCCTCATCTGCAGGACCACGAGCGCATCCACAGTGGCCTGCGTCCATTCTGCTGCTGGATTTGTGGCAAGAGCTTCAGTGTGGCGGCCCGCCTCACGGAGCACGCCCGCATTCACAGCGGGGAAAAGCCTTACCCGTGTCCACACTGTTCTGCTGCGTTCAGAGCACGGGCAAACCTGGAGAAGCACATCCGCACGCACTCAGACCTGCCCCCGGAGACTGCGGCCGAGGCGGTGAACGCAGCAGAGGCGGCGCATGTCCAGAAAGTGCTGGAAGGAGCCAAAGTGCTGTCTGTGGCCACGACGGAGATGGACACGGCCGCCGCAGTGCAGACCATCTATGTCCTGCAGAGCACAGAGGAGGGCACAGAGACCGTCATGATCCCGTCTGACCAGCTCACTGGTCTCGAGGGAAACTCACAAGTAGTTATCCTGCCGTCTGGGCTGGGAACACAAACTATTACTGTTCCTACGATCACAATGGATGGAAATGAAATCACTATGGTGGATGCAGGCCAGGCACAGCACCATTCAATTGAGTTTATTGTTGAGGAAACTATATGAAAGTAGTAGAATGCAGTGATCAGCTAGAAAGCAATACAATATAGACACATTCAAGATCCCCCTTAACCTAAAAGTGCAATCCTCAACTACTCTGGTGGCAGGCCTAAATGTTATTTTTCCTGGATTTGGGTCATTAAAGTTGACCGACTTTGCATTGGAAGGAAGAATGTAACTCGACTCCCTTTGGAGGTGTTACCAGGGAAGATCCTGGACACATTAGAGGGACTATGTCAGATACCAAAAAGCCACTATCACCAATTGAGGAATGCACCTTTTGGCTAGAGCACCTGATGGTGAATGATTTAATTGCTGAGGTTTTCTGTGTACCTATTGTGATATAAAACAAATATTTTACTACACAACTATGCTATGAAAAGTTGGTGTTGGCACATGAGTGTGTTATGAGGCTTCAGAATTTTGCCTTAAACATAATACTTAATCAGTCCAGGAACTAAAACATTTCTGCATTATGGACCAATTGTGTTTCCATATAATAAAGGCATTTATGCTTTTGTTTTGTTGTTTTGTCATTTTTATGTCCCTTAGAGTAGTTTTTGGAGAGCACTATGAAAGTGACCATCACTGATTGCATAGTAATGACAGAAAGAAGCAGGATTCTTGGAACCTTTGTCCCAATATTTCCTCAGCCATTATTGACTTTGTCTTGTATAAGGACACAGTGAGAGAGAGATGTTGTTTTCACCTGGGATCAGCACAATGCAGTGGCAAGTAGTGTAATAGAATTATCCAGTACTTGTCAGTTATCAAAAATAATGATCCTATTTGTGCCTGAATGGGAGGATGCATAATATTCAAGTTTTGCGTACGCTGCAGTGGCCCATTACAGGCTTCTAGGACACAGTTAAAGTCTGTCTCCCACCTGGCGAGTGCTGACAGGGGGGTTTAAGCCACACACACGTCCAGGCACTCAGTCTTACTTTGTTTTCATGTCGTGTAGGAAGAAATGCTGATGATTGTGCAGGGAACTGAAATGTGGAAAATGGCAGCGCTGAAATGGGGCTCTGAGGAGCAAACGAAGACCTGTGCCAAGAATTTCGTTGCTCTTCATTGCTTTCCTCTGAGTCAACAGGCATCCAGTCGATAAATACATGTTGTTCCCTTCCCCATTAATATGAGAGCTTATGTTCACAAATTTTAGGTGAATGGAGCCTCACCAGATCAGCTGGCTCCTGATCACGGTTACAGGTATGTGACTGAAGGAGTTGATCATAAGATGTTTATTAGGTCTAAACAGCTGTTTCAAAGTTAGGTTCCCCACCTTCAACAGACTTTCTAGAAGAAGGAAGCATGTATGTAGGTAATCATCCCACTTTAATGTATCAGTCTGTGTGTACTGCACTGCATCGGGAACTGCAGCTTGAATTCACATGTTGACTAAAATGGCTCCAGCAGCAGAAACACATCCATCCATACAAACAATAACATTCATAATTCTAAAAGTGACATGCTTCCATTCCCCTGGTTGATGTGAGCATTGTCTGCTTGGTTCGGACCATTTTCTCTGCACTGGTTCAGAGTGAAATTCTAGATGCTTTATTAGCATTTCAAACAATTGGTTTTAGCATTCCTCCAGTAGATTTACCCATGATCTGCTTGGTTCAGTGTGTCCAAAAACAGTTGATGTTGAACCCTGGTTGAGGTGTGAAGGAAAAAACTACCCATCACCATGTCCTCAGTAGAACACAGTATTGTTTTTAGAAATGACTATAACTTCATAAATGGCCATAAAACAATAACAATAAGCTCATGCATGCATTCCAGCTGTTCTGACCCTGGGCATTCCTTTGGTTCTCACCTCTTGTTGTATCATAAACACTAAAAATACCCCAGTGACCCTCAGGAGAGAAAGTGCATATTCAGCTCAGGCTGCTGTAAACTCGCTGACATCACAGTGTCCTGAGCAGGTGGAGGACACCAGCCTCTCAGGGTTTGGCATGAGCCTCAAGGTACAAGAGCAATGCAGAGGCCCCATTACACTTGGCAGCTCTTTATATCCATTACATCATTGCATACATTTGTTTCAACGTATACATCATTCTCCTTATATAACGAAAGAAAACCGTGAGAAAAATGTATGATTCATCTTATTATTATGGAAATTAAATTGCTAGAGTCATACATTTTCAATGGTTTAAAACAGGGGTGGGCAATTATTTTCTTCGAGGGCCACGTTGGGGTATAGCCTGATTATAGAGGGCCGGACCCAATTTCATGTGGTAGGTTTTTGTCTTTACTTTTGCAAAAACCTACTTCAGTATTAGAATTTTTAAAAATGTGCGTACTTTATATTTTATTCAACACTTAATGAGAACAGAATAAATGTATTACAGCCTTCAGTATTTCAGGGTTGCGGCTGACGTCACACATTGGAGCAAAACTCCTCCAAGGGACAGGAAGTAAATCTCCCTCTTAAGAACCGTGTAAATCTTCACTGATTCTGAGTCTAAATGCTTGGTTCCTGTGGCGTGTGCAGTTGTGGAAACTGCTCGTATCAAGTGGAGAACTAATAGTCTATTTTGAAAAGAAATATTTCTCTTACAGGTACATTTTTTTAGGAAAATACCTAAAAAGGTATTTCATAAATAGTTTGTTTTAGCTAAAAGATTAAGCTAGCAAATTGCTGTTAACAAATAACAGGAACTTGATAAATTAGGCACGGAATTATAATCATTTGTACTTTTGTGAATGATACATCTTAAAGACGTATAGAAGGAATTCCCAAATTTTAGGAAAGAACTGCCCTCTCCACTTTTTGAGCAAAACTCTTTGGTCTTATTTGACGAGCACATATCACCAGAATGATTGACATTGGGAGGACCAATCCTCACATAATCCTCCTACATACCTGTAAGTAAACGTGGATAGAGGGTTGAACTTGAGCTACAGTGGCCTCTGCTAATCGAGAGCCCGTGGATGTACCTCCAAGATAAACGACAGACATCTGCTCAGCCCCTGCATGGTTCTCCAAGGACACACTCGGCCAAAGTTATTGATGCTCGTTTTCTCAGATTAAGATCGATTGAAAATGTATCGTCCTTCTCCTTTCTTTCATTTTTCAACTAATCACAGCTTGTTTCCTCGTAGCTTTGCTTGGATAGTAGGTTTTATGAGAATTGCTGTAAATGAATATCTGGTGATGATACTATGTGGGGTGGTAGTTGCTTAAATGATACAATATAAGAAAAGAATGGTTCTCTTTCACAGGGCCTTTGAGGGCCTTCGACTGGGTGGACCATTGACGGCTTCCACTGATGTAACACATGGTAAAATAACTCCATCTTTAGATCTTACACATGGTTCTCATCTAATCCATTCATTTTGTGCCCTGGGGGAAAATTGAAAAAAGTGAATACACATAGTCTGAGAATTCCCAAGCGGCTGTGTGCGCTTGAATCCTTTCAAACTGCACAACATATTCTCGGCTTGGACTATCTCAGGCCTTTTGCACTAATTCATAAAGACATATAAGAAATTAAAATTACTTCCACAGTTACATTGACCATTTGAGTAGATATATAAGACACCAGTATTGAGCAAGTGGTGAAAAGGTGGTACTGCACCCTAAAACTCCCCAGAAAGGGGACGGCGCTCTTGAGCAAGTGGTGAAAGGTGTTACTGCACGGTATTTTTCAAAGAGTTTTAATGAGTTAGATTCTGTTGACCCTGTGTGTGTGTGATAAAGTAAATGCTTCACAGTTGTCTAAAGTGATTTATGATCACGGTTTATTCTAAAACAGTTAGGAATAGCTAAGCTGCAGGGGAGGACCTGTTAACGACACTTAGGTGTGTGTGTGTGTGTGTGATAGCGTTATCATGATGACGGTTGGGAGGTCGTACTAACAACAAATCAGAATGGGTGGGAGGTCTGTTTACACCGTCCTATCAGAAGTTTTTCAATGGTTCAAACGCATTACCGCTGTCTAAGAGAAGGTTATACAATATGCCTAATACAGGTAAGTTATTAATATAACATTTTGCAGTAGTCATATTAAATGTTTTAATTTAGTTTATCTCTAGGAAAGGGTCGTTTATTGACACATTATAACACCGATGAAGATTTAACCCCAACAGCAAAAGTTACGAGAGGTCTACAGCAAACGGATGAAATAGGGTAAGATCTCATTTTTTTCCTTAATGTCTTAATCAGATGTTTAATACTTTTATTTCATTTTATACAGCACAGGTAAATTAAACACCAAGTCAATGCCCCTGATGCATAAATTAAGACAAGTAAATCAACATAAAGCTCCGTAAGTCGGTACATATACTAACTTTATATAACAAGTTTTATGAGAGATATATTTTTTTTTCTAGAGCAATTCTATCACGCCGCAACGGACACAAAATAACTAATCACGGGGATGATGATGATGATGATGATGATGATAAAAGGTGAGTTACATATTATAATTTTATAATGATAGAGGTTATAATTGTTTTTATAATCACTATTTTTAGCTCATCAGAGGGTGGCGAAGACACAGAGAATCACCCCTCAGTAAACCAGGATTTCAACATAATCGATTTTATAGCGACACTGGACATTGATGCCATTATACGCGATGAAGGTATACCAAACAACGATCAAGATGTATTAAACGCAGGATCACCATTCCCGGACCGTGAGGAATACTTTGAACCACTATCTGGACACACAGCAGCAGCTCCTGATGCAGCAAAAGGGCCTATAAAGAATGCTTTAACACCAAAGGTGAATACTTTACAAGAAAACACACATCTGTTAAACAACACTAGTGAAAAAACGTTTGTGAAAACAGAGCTCTCCAACATACGCGAGGAATTGAAGTCAAGCAACGCACGTTGTGTTAGTGCAGAGATACATACAGACAGGTGTCTAGCAACTGTGAGCCAGCAAGTAAAATACACAGAGGCCCGTATACTTAACGAAATACATCAGTTAAAGAGACAAGTTCACCATCTTCAAACTGAGCACGTAAAAGTTACTAAACAAGTGTTGG